GCCGTCCCTTACGCGCTCTGTTAGCCGCCAATGCCCAACAGCAAAGCCTAAACTGCATAAGCTTGCGTTTCGCTGAGCGTGGGATAAACATTGTGATATGCGGAAGCACCTCCTTCCTGCCCGCTTGCTCGGCTGCCAGACCCATCCAATGCTTATACTTCGCCATGTGAATTCCTGGTTGCTTGCCATCTGACGGGTACACGTCTGGCTGGACATCTAAACGCGTATGCTTCCAACCACTCACTAATTGGTCCTGGAACTCCAAAACCACACCTTCTGGCATTGGCCTGTTCATCAGCCACTCCACTCGCTCGTCTACCGTAGCCCTTGCGGGGCCTCTTTCCATACGTAGTGGCCAAAAAACATAGAAAACGGAGGAGTAGTGTCCCCCATCCGGCCCCTTCGGGGTTGGAGAGGGATTCTGCGACCTCCTGTCGCAAAACTTGGTGTGCCACAGACCCACGCTGTAAACGGACATGGTCCCAAAACCTCACAACCTGCTTGAGAACGTGGTAGTGTAGGGGCAGCTGCGACAGCTCTGCAAACAGGAGGCGATGTGTTGGTCTGGTAGCTCCTACAATTTGCCGCATGAAAGATATCTGAAGCTGCACTGCTCTGTCCTTTCGACATGCCTCGAAGGGCCCCTCTACATTAACTTTGTGACGCGCTAGTGTGGACTTAATGTACGTGGTGTTTCCACTAGGCCTTACGGTTCTTCGCCAGGAGTACGCCAACCTCCAATTTGTTTGGTAAATATTTGTTTCTATCATTAGTTATATCAATATATGCATATAGAACGGTGAGAGGCGAGTCCAGGACGAAGAACATTCGAACTCGGCCAAGTGGAAACACCCTGTAAGCAACTTGCGGCTCCTTCCATGCAGAGGTCGCTGCGGGGGCAGCTTGAATGGCTTTACGAAGCTTTACCGGGGAAGTATTTGAAGAAAGCGAGGACAGTGCGGGCATTTGGTCCACTCTGAGGGTCACTCCGGGGTCAACAAGTCGGCCGGCGAATGGTCAAGAGGAGTACAAGTAAATTACGTGGAAGACCGAGAGCGAGCGAAATCAAAAGTAATCGCGCGGATCGCCTAAAAAGCACATTAAAACATAAGCATCCCAGCCAAACGCTTCGTAAATTAAGCACCTTCACAGTTTACTATCACCTTCACCATTCAGAAAGATACTGCCACTATTCTTGCCCTTGCTGCTGCTGCGTGCTCGGAACTAAAGGATAGACACTACTCCAGTCGTGTCACCTGTCCGTACATCCCAAAACTACTATGTCAAGCCATCGCATTGCCCACCAAACCCCTCGAACATGAAACGTCTAGCACACAATCTCGTGAAAATATAAGTGCTTCTCCAAGAAGTAGGCAGCACCCCGCATCCAAGGAGCCAGACCGCCTGTCTTTTTATGGAAGCGTTGCTTACACTTTTAAGATGGTGCACCCAGGTAGGCGGCCAAACGCAATAGATCAGAAAAGACGCCGGCTGCGGTCACATCTGCACCTGCTCCGGGACCGCGGATGATGAGCGGCTGTTTGAAGTAACGCGCCGTGGTGAAGGATATGATGTTGTCACTACCCTGCCGGTCGAGACAGACAAGAAACCCGACCAGTTGCTGTTAGGTTTGGCAAAGCAAGGACTCTGCGGTTGAAAAAGCAAAAGGCTAGAATCCCTGGCAATAGACTAAGGTCGTAGTCCCTCCCACCTTCAACTGGGCGAAAGGGTGTGACTTGGGGTACCGTCGCAGCTCCACACTGCCGCAACCACCCTGCGCATCTACTACACCTACGTACCTGCGCAATTGAAAATGAGGGTTAGAAAGGGACAGAGCAGGGGATAGAACGGTGGAACCAGGGAGGCAAATCTCACCCGAGTCGAATTTGGCCCGATTAGAAAAATGCCTGGCATATTGATAAGCATAGCACCATAGCATACAATTTACATTTGGGGATCCTAGAGCACCAAGGATCCACAAACCTAAAACCCTAATTATGTTTCCAACACCATCTAATTCCGCCTTTTTCATCATTATTCCAACTGCCCTTCCCTCTCACCGTAGGCACTCCCCGCTGTCCTCGGCCTGCCGCAACTTGGCATCCATGTCCGCATCGAATCCGGGCAGTCGGGCCATGTACTCCGCGGACGAGGCCACTTCCCGCAGGGGCTCCGGAACCAGGCTTTCTACGGGTATCTGGTCCATCTCCAACAGCAGGCCACATTCACGAGCCAGAATGCACACCTGCCCGAGACCCGACAAGGAGGGACCTAGGTGGAAAGGCACATTAGGCTAATTTATCAAAGCGTAGAGACGGCACCAATCACAGCAACGGGCTGCAGAGAGATGCACAGCCGTGTAAGGCTTTAAGCTCATGATCAGCACTATTGCAAGTCACCAGCAACGATGAGAGGAACTAAGCAATCCCCAGCATATTCGAACTATACGACCGCACCTTACGTGCCACATCAGTGCCATTCAGATCGTCCCGGGGGTCTGGCTCTGTGTACCCTTTGGCCTTGGCATCCTGCACAACTTCGCTGAAGGGCCGCCCATCGCCAAAGGTGTTGAATATGTACGATAGGGTGCCGGAAAGGATGCCCTCAATCTTGATGATTTTGTCGCCCGTTTCCAGCAGGTGCTTCAGGGTGCCCATCACGGGCAGCCCTGCACCCACCGTGCCCTGCGGATGGAAGACAAGCGGGGAACTGAGCCCATGAAACAGTGTTCGTTCAGAAGATGCAGCGAGTATGGGACGATAAAATCCGCGAAGGAGAATTCCGCCGAGCAACCAACCGCCCAAGCTACGGAGGTGCGTATATGGCATGCCCTGCTCAAGCGCACCGCAATGCGTCTTCCCTTGCATAGCTTCATCACATCAGTACATGTTTACGGCCTAAGCGCCTGGCAAACTGCGTCAACGTACGGAAGCCCGAAGAAGCTGTCCAATGCACCAAATGCAAGCAGTTAAAACTAATCCCAACCAACTGTACTCCCTGGCGCAGGTGCAAGAAACGATACGCCCCGTCACCCACACCTTACACCCAAGTCCTATTGACTTCTTCCCACCCCACCTCGTAGAAGAAGTGAATGTAACCCTCCCTTTGCATGCGGCGCACTGCTTGGTACTGCTCCAGCGGCCCGCTGCCCAGCTTCTTGTTGGGTGTCACGACATGGATGCCCTGGCAGGGGTAAGGATACGGAATGCAAGACGAAAAAGTAGGATTAAGGTTAGCAGCGATGACCCAATCTCGTGCAGTGCATATGCACGTAAATGTTGCTCACTACCTCAGCTGGTTGCACATCCATGGTACACCTCCCAATTTCACACATGACTTAGCCTAGACATATATCCCTTCACAGTAGACGCTGAGTCCTCCAGTCACTGCTACAGTCGCAGCCGTTGTCCTACCTGTTTCATCCAGTGGATATACTTGGACGCAGGAGCATCCGAGGCGGTGCAGTCCACAATGACCCGGTTAGGGATATAGTGGCTTGAAAGGAAGTTGCCGAACTTTTCCAGGTCGCAAGCTACGGACTAACGATAGGTTGCGTGGGGCGGCCGGGAAGATAAGGGGAGGCAACAGGCGGGAAGGACAGGTTGTAAAGACATAATGATACACGAACATCAAAGGGGTAGTGGAAATGCTTACGTGTACATGAGAACGAAGGGAAGGAAATGCATGCAGGAATTCATGCAGGAAACATCAATGCTAACGGCTGCACGCACACCAAGAGAAAACCTGTCTGCAGCGCGCAGGCCCAGGCACAGGACTGTGTGTCAAGTAAGGGCTGCTGAACCGCAAGCAACGCCAATTCAAATGCAATAGCAAGCGACAGCCTCGACATCCAAACCTGGACGAGTGCGAGAAGGCCCGGACATCAAGACTCTTCATAGCCCACATGCAGCCCGGTTACCACACACCAGCCCAACCCAACCACTGCATTCCTAGTCCTCCTTCCCTCGAACTTACCTTTTCGTCAAGGTCCTGTCGCCAGTTGTCCAGGTCCACTCCAGTCTCTTGCATCAGCATCTTGGAGGATGAAGCCACCGCTAGCAGCCGCAGATCGATGCCGAATTCCTTCTTGAGGAGCTGCCGCTGCTCGCGGAGCTGAGAACGGGGAAAGGGTGGACTGGTTCACGGCCGGCTCATATGGTTAAGGGCTCGAAATACAGGGCGGGTCGAGACGTCCGGGCGGCCACTAGCAGGTTTGGATACAGCAAGATGGACGTGAGATGTCCGGCTTGGATTGGTCGTAGGACCAGCGTGTTGTGAGATGACAACACTACAAGCATGTGCAGCATGTAAGCATGCGGTGCTACTGGCAGCGGCATGCAAGCTCCCAACTCACTATTGCCCACCCGCGAATCCCAGCAAAACGTGCGTACATCATCATGCACGCTATCGCCACTGCGGTCCCCGCACATAGCGATAGCACGATAGCCGATAGCGCCGTCTAAACCTTAATGAACAGCCCAACATACTTAAAAGGACATGTTGATGATGTATGAATTTCCACAGCTGTCACGCCCTGAAAAAGGTTCTTCCTTAGGCACATGAAGTACAACCAAATCCTCCAAAAGTGTCCAAGACGACGTCATCATGCTAACATACGACTACGCGTATTATTGTTTAATACGGTATTACAAGGGCCGGAGGACGTCAAATACCCATATGACTATATTGGCAATTCCGTTGGTACAGGTTGGTTGCAATCGAAGTTCCTGACGCAAATTAGGGAATATGCTAGGACGCCTCGCGATATTCAATTTAAGATGGCTTCAGCTGCCGCCCAACGCTGCAACGCATTAACGTGTCTAGTGCCTTAACCTTACCAAATCTCAATTCTGTCAGCCTGCACTGCATTTGGGTCGCCACACGTTGTACTCAAATCCCCAAATCCAAGCATCAACACGCAACCCCCTCGGCCAGTCTTTTACCTCTCCCTGCTTCAGCACGTGCTGCCTCACCCCCTACCTGTTGTATGAGTGTCCCACCGATGAGGCCCGGGCCTACAATGCCCACACCGATGGGTACATCTGACAAGTAGAACCGGGAATGTACAGCACGGAGCGCCCGCTCCGAATCGGCCTGCGGGAAATGAGAAACATGGCGAAAGGTGGAAGGCAGCGAGGTGATGAGCCACAGGTTACGAATGCCTTGTGTTGGTGGCTGCAAGCCCTGACGATACCTTAACACAGCCTGCTCAAGATGCCCACCTCTTCCCTGAAAGCTTACACCCTACAGCGACTTTTGCAAAATATGTTCCCTCTCCAAGGACCGTTACACCCTCACACATGTACAGAACATTATACCGACACGAATCATGGACGCACCTGCGTTATAAAATAAAGTCTTTAAACAGCGCACGCATAGCTCACGATTCAACTGTTTGTGAGGCTGACAGTACCACATAGCTGCTAGAAAGTGCTCCGCTAGTCCCCTCTCATCACCGGCCGTACCTGATCAATAAGCACGGTGATGTTGTACTCAGAGGAACCCTGTGCAATGGCCTTAATGTTGACATTGGCCTTGGCCAGTGCGCCCATCATGGTGGCCGCCACACCCTTGCGAGCCACCATGCCTTGACCCACTGCCGCAAGCACGCAGCAGTGGGGAATCACCTGGATGGCCGACACACGGCCAGCAGCGATAGATTCCGCAAACCTGAAAAGGAAGAAGATGGCACGGCGGGACAATGGAATGGAAAATTCGATTTACTGAAGCGGAAACGGCCTCCGCGAAGGAGAAATGCAGCAGGCGGCTGAGACAGAGACGCTTTCCGCACCACGCTCGGAGCTTAGCGGCTGCGATTGCCCTTGCCGTATACTGCCGTATACTGATATATGGCGAAAGCTTGTCTTACTTAAAACATTTCTAACATTTGCACAGCGACGCGCACCTGTCTGTGAGCACCTTCGCGGCCGCCTCGCCGTCCCCTCCCTTGACCGCGAAGCAGATTGACTGCTCAGAGGAGGCTTGGCTGATCATGATCACGTTGATGCCCGCATCGCGGACCGAGCTGAAGATACGCGAAGCAATGCCAGGCACACCCACCATGCCAGTGCCCTATGCGGATTGCAGGGACGAAAAATTAGTTTGATAACATATCACGATCAAGCGACGGGGTGGCTCAGCTGACATCAAGGCAACGCAGGAATGTGCTGACGGCAGAGGCCAAAAGAGGGGCCGTCATAACTGTTTCCCAGGGAGTGCACAAGCGGCAATAAGCTGGGCTGTTAAGTGTTGATGTTGTTTCAGGGTGGTTAAGCTTCACCAGTGGCCTCCTTCCCGAGGCAGTTCCCTGCTCTCCCCTGCTAGAGGGGCACCCAAATCCGTTCACCCCATCCGACTTCAGAGTGTACTCTTTGGTTTTGGCAACTCACCACCAGCATCCAAACAAATCTAGCGGATCAACGGCGCCTTAACTCAGTTCCTGGTCAGCTCGCAAGTTGATTTTATCACGTCCTACACCGTCCACAAGATGGGGGCCACCTCCCATTTCATCACTCCTCAAACACCCCGAGGAGCCGGCAGGCGAATTTGAACCCAGTCACGCCGGGAACAGAAGTCATAAGCCTTAACCTCTGCCAGCCACCTGCCTGTTAAGTGATCATGTGCACCCTGGAACACACCGCGCCCAGCATACCATGCTCGTACCCTACCCCTGCTTACCTCCACATTAATCAGGGTTACGTTGTCAATGGTGGCAAAACCTTTGATGGTGGCCTTGCCCTGGTACACCTCCATGTCCGCAGCGAAATCGCTAATGCGAGTGCCTGAGCAAACCGGCATAATCACCGTGAGGACAGGGGTCATGCGCAATCCGTTTGCAGCGTAAAGAGCACGTGCAACACCGGGGAAAAAAGCCATGAAAAAATACAAACGGTTGCGAACAGAAGACAGCCGACAGACCAGGGACTTGCCCTGGTGTTCGCGCTGTCGTATGGGAACCACCGGCCGGCAGAGGAGGACGAAAACCACAGAAGCCCCATGCTATGACCCATGCCCCATGCTGTTCTCACCTAATGCCTTCTGGTTGAAAAAGTTACGTATAGTTATGGGGATGTGGTACTTCATGGCGGGTAGGGTGGTGCGGGGGTGCAGCACATTTGCCCCAAAATAGCTCAACTCCCAAGCCTCGTGATACGTCATGCTGGGCAAGCAAACCGCCTCGGGCACCTGCACGATGTTGTGCAAAGGAAGTGGAAATGCTTTAGGTTTAAAGATCGCCAGAAGCAGGACTGTGAGCGAGTGTAGGCCACTGGCTCGTATGTGGATGGGCACGGAGCCAGCAGAAGTTCGTAATGCATCAGCCCAAAGAGCATGTTGTGAACTGCATCTAAAGGGTCCTGAGAAGGAGAGAGAAAGGGCCAGAGGCATTAAGAAAGCTTGTTATTACACGCAATAATCATGCATAGAAGCAGAAGCCCAGGACGGCCGAGGTCGCGTTTTCAAAAGACCAACCGGCGAAAGTTCAGGGCTTTGGATCCAGGGAGAGGCTGGCTTTGGATCCAGGGAGAGGCTCTAAGAAAGGCTCCAGAGCTGAACTGCAGATCTGCAATGTGGACTTGATGCGGCAATAGGTTTGGCTTCGGCTCCCCAAGCATACGCCGAAGGTGTTACCGACGCGGTGCGGATTGACAGTCACCTAGTAAGCACAGGCGCTAATGGTGGAGGACAGTTCGCCGCACGTTGCACTATATTAGTGTGTGGGGGCTTCGCTCGGCTTCATTGAGCAGCCATTCTGCTGTACTCGGAGTTGCGGAAGCCAGACTTACCGCAATCTTTTCTCCGGATACACGCAAGCTGCTGCCCTGTGCCCTCGCTCGGGAGGGACCCTTGAAATTTTTGTTCACCCATAATGCCCACACAAATATATGCCTAGTCACTGACCTTGCGCGGGTCAGCCGAGAAGACCCCATCCACGTCCGTCCATATGGTAATGTGGCGACTACGCAGGAGCGCGCCCATTATGGTGGCTGAGAAGTCGCTGCCGTTGCGCTTGAGAGTGGTGGCGGTGCCCTCGGGGCTGCGAGCGATGAAACCCGTAGCCACCACGAGCTGCGAGCAAGTACGCACATATGTGTGTTCAGGCCAAGGAAATGCGAAGGCATCTGGGACACGCCAACTCTTGGAGCTGCTCTACCCCCAATCCACTCCCACGGATGGTCAAGCTGCTCTCCTACTGCCATGCCCTGGTGGTACGGCCAGATTCGTGTACCTGATGCGCATTGCTCTGCCGACCCAGCACACCTAATGCCCAAGCTATACTCAGCGACATCACAGGATTGCAGGACCCACAAGCCAAATCGTTCACCTCAGCATCCGTCACCCTCGGTAGGCGCCCCACACGACATAGACACACAGCCGCTGTCATGCCTCAACTGCTACGGGTCTTATCACCGCCAACCAATAACCGGTGCCGATTCGCAACGTTCCATAAGTTGACACCCTTACCTCAAATCCAATCTGCCCCATATCCCTATGCTTCCCACCTTGCTGCACCCATTGGCAGTAAACCAGTCATCTAAACGGCAGTTAGACAGCTGCTCATCCAAATCCACGGAGCCGCCGTCATTCGTAGGGGTCACCACGAGCACATCACGGGTGTCCATAAACGCCACATCAGCCCCCAGCTGTGGACGGGCAAAGCGAACGCGGGAGGGAGGTTGGCGCTTGGCGGCTAAGGACAGGTTCTGCGTGCGTCAAAACTCGGGTTGTGCAGGTGCGTGAACAAGAATTGCATGAGCCGTGCATTTTCTTGTATAAAGAATTGCACGTGTAATTGCAAAAGATTGCGAGGTAGGGTAAGGGAAGGGACTGCAGAAAAGTGAGCGCGCTGGCCCAAGGCAATGATGGCAAATGCGGGCTATGGGCCAAGCGATCGTGGTCAATGGCGACAAATAAACCGGATTTTCATTCGTTGATCGAGCTCCCAGTCAGCACATAACCGTAAAGCGCAGCAGCCGTAACCTTTAAATACCGCCTTTAAAAGTCTCCTACAGCTGAGTTTTTGATATCCAACAATGTCTTCATGGCAAGCAATGTATTGACGTGTCTGAAGCTGGTTGGAGGTAGCCCGAGGACAAACAAGGCTGCAGTCGGCTGGTAAGCGTCCAAAAACGCTTGGAAGGGGGACTCAAAAGTAGATTGCTATGCAGGTCGCAAGAGGTGTACTCGGCAATGAGCATCGGTCAAATTATTTTTCGAGCCATCAACAACTGCTGGCATCTCCCGCATCTCCCAGCAGGAGTAAAACTGGTTATGGCGCTGTGAAGTCCTTACTCTAATTCCAAGCGCCCAATACCAAAAAGAGCGGACTTTACAGCGCCACAAAAACTCATGCGCAAGTCAGTACTTCAGAGCATCTGTGCGGATTGCAACAGCAGTTTTCCGTTTTGCTTTCTTTCCGGCCCCTGTGCTTTCTTAATCTGATCTATCGTTGACATGAGGCATCCAGCATCACATAAACGTATCATCCCCCCTCTTACAGTACACACCCATTTCCCACGCGGCGTCACCTATAACGAAAGGTCACTCTTTCGAAACGCTGATCATGTCCTTAAACCGCTGCTTTTAAAGTTACGAAAGGAATTCACGAGCCTTTGTGACGTAAACGTACTTTTCGGTGCCATCAACATGCTTCATCTGGTGCCTTGGTTCCGAGGTGAAAAGACGTACTCATCCATCCGCCATAATGATTTAACATACAGCAAAATAATGCTCCATGCACATCATTTATGGCTAATTCTTGCAGTGCGCCCTCCCAGCCCCTGGACCCTGGCATGTATACCAAAACGGCCGTACCAGGAGTTAAATCTACCTGGCGGCAGCAAAGCGAAAACAGGCGCCCGCTCCACAGCTCACCATGCCCCACGACGAAGTCGCTGAAGGCGTCCGTGGACATGCCAGCTGAGGGGCCGAGAAGCAGCATTCACAATACGATGAGGGCAGCAACCAAGCCGGTATGGCAGAAGCGCATGAAGTACCCCCAAGGTTGTGGAGCTTGCGAATACAGACTTGACGAGGCACTGACACGCGTTTGCGATCGTGGCTTTACTAGAAAGCCACGCCAAGTTCTGTAGGTAACACCAGGACTTCGTCACCCACCCCATGGCCCAGAACCAGTTGACATGCATGAAGCCACCACGGACGTACCGATGCTCATAGCCTGCAGCATGGCCTTGAGGTTCGTAATGTCGTCCATCAGGGAAGCCACAAACTGCGTGAGCTCCTTCGACTGACCAAGTAGCTGCTTGGCGGTCTCGACGTGCTTCTCTTGGAGGGCAGCGAGGTCCACCAGGAAGGCTGCATCCTGACGTGACGCCTTCTTGATCATATTCAGAATTAAGTCGGTAACTTTTAAGGGGCTTGTAGGATGGTTACCCATGGCACTGACAACGACGCATGTAGACGAACTGGGTCCAACGCTATTCACCATCAGCTCTGCTGCTGCACGAATCCTGTCGGCGCTGGCCATGCACGTCCCTCCAAATTTATGGACTTGCCAATGGGCACCACGGACGCCTGAAACGTCGTCCACATTGCTTGCAGTTTCTGCTGTAGGAGGACTGATGGCTTGTGTCAAGACGGATGCCTCTCGAGCGCGCGCCGAAGCACTATGCGCCAGAGGCAAATGAACGACTGATGGCTGCAGCTTCCAAGCGCTACAATGATTGACAAGCAGACAGCTTAAACGTCGTGGGATAAAGCATGCTATCCCAGGCCCTCCTCGCTTTGCGAGGTGCTGCGAGGTGCGCATTCTTCTGTACAGACGGCGGCGGAATTGATCAAGTACCCCCCTATTCAAGTGTGAGGGCTTAATAGGATTCCGTGCTTTCAGGAACAAATATTTTGTTGGATGTCAAAATTTTTTGGGAATGTCAGGTTCGTACGGCAAAATTGCTTGACCAACGGTGCTTATGAGCTTCATTTGACTTCTATGTAAATCATGAGTTTGATTTTCGTCTTGTTCTGGTGATGCGTTATTCTTTAATATTAGACGAGTTCACAACGAGCGCGTTACAATGCTAGGATTGTCGCTTTAATTAATGCTATTGTGACCATTACAAAACTCTATCCGTGATACTTGGGCACACCGTTATGAAAAGCATCAGCAATATTGGTCTCTTTATCGGCGTATTTCTTGCTACTCTGGGCTTCCTAAACTTTCGTGAGCATGCCCAGCGTTCGCGTGGTGTACAGATAAAGCATGAAGGATTAACTCGGGCACTCCTGGGTCGGACTGGTGCCCCGGGAGGCGCGTCGACGCAACGGCAAGTAACACATGATGATTTGACAGCTTATCCTTTCAAGCCTGTCGAGGACGTGAACATCGGAGTGCAGACGGGGCACTTTTTCGGCAGCGATTTTGAAGGGCTCCAGCCAAATTGCACGATCGGAAACACCAGGATAAATTGTCGTTATGGTGCAGCCTTAGATCCGGAGAAAGCAGATGCTCTATGGTATCATATACCTTCCATGGGGGCTGGAAGCAAACTGGTTAAGCGTCCCAAGCAGCTGCTTATTGGCATGAGTATGGAGTCCTCTGAGTATTATCCGGCCTTGGACAACAAGGACTTCATGAGAAATTTTGACATTGAGTCATCATATAGGACCTGTTCACAAGTACCCGTGTTTTATTTTGACTACAACGCACAACAGGTGGGATTGTGGAAAGTGGAAAGTGTACTTGGTGGGAGATTAATGCCGTCCTCCTGAATAGTGAAAGCGTCGTGGCTCGATTTCAAACTGATGGCTGACTTGCGGTTATGCGACGCAGGTGGCTAACCTCTTCAGGCCTCCCCTTCCTTTCGAGGAGAAAAAAACTGCATTGGTGTACGTTAACAGTAACTGCGGGGCAAAGAGCGGGAGATCAGAAATTATGCGCGCGGTGAGATCCAGGTTACTAGTATGGTCACCTTCCCAGATAAACGCCAATGTGTGCGCGCTGCATGCAGGTCATAGGCTTGAGGAACCCGATCGTCCCGACGCATAGCTGGGGACATTGCGACCGAAACATGCCGGTGAGTAGGTTGGTGAGATGGAAAGCCCCGATGCAGCTCAGTGCGGATTGCTCTGATTTCATGGACAGTTGTTGCGGTGAAACCCGAAAGTACGGCAGGCCGTATATAATTGGCTACGGGATCTAAACTGTGAGTATCTACACATATGCAGGATTCTGTACAAGGCACAAGCACTGCTTCCTAGGTTAGCCATTCCACGGCATACGTTTGGGACAAAGTAGCGCCGAGAGCAGCGTCGACGCTTTGTTTTGTGGCATAATGCGGATTAATCCTCTTCGCATCTATTTGTTGTGTTCTTAGTGCTTCATATAAGCCAATCATTGTAGTCACATATGCTTTACATGCCTGGGCTGCTACAAGAAATTAAACCCACTAACACTTCTGGATGTAATTGACACTCTCTCGGTCACCAGATCCCATTGGCTAGAATGCACAGGATTGCATTGCGAAGTTCTGCATGGGCATATGTTCTAGCTGTACTGAAGCTAAGAGGGCTTACACTGCGGCAGGTAAAGGACAACAACTTTAACAAGGTAGAGCTCATTCATGGGTATAAGTTCTGCGTAGCTATGGAGAACTCGATTACCAAGGATTACATAACGGAGAAACTTTGGCAGGTAAGGGAGGGGAACGAGGAAGTGTTCTTATCCACGAATTGTCCTGGGGTTAAAGGGTGTTAGGCAAAGCCGTTTGTGTGAAGGTATAGTGTTATGGTCTGGCAGAAGGGGCTAGCTCGGCCACACCCTTACACACAGAAGGATGTCGAAGCCTTTAAAGGCCTAGTCTGCTCCCCGTTCGGACCCATCACACAATGTGATGGTTAGGCTGTCTTCAGTGACAGTGGATTTGCAATCGGCGAGCTAACACGTCGCCCTTGTTGCTGCCCGGTCTGTCAGGCGCTCGAAGCAGGGTGCGTACCCGTGTATTTGGGACCGCACAATGTCAGGGAGTTCCTACCAGATCCAGAGGCGATTGTGGATTACAACACACTCGGGTCGCCGGAGGCATTGATGAAGGTGTGTTCGGCTGCTCCTGGGCAGAAGGGCGGACTTGATGAAAGGATGGATGCGTACTTTCGAGAGCCGTCTTGTTGCGTCTACCACTGGCTACAGCCATATATACGTAGGCGTGTGTACACACGTCTTATCCGGTTGGCTGGCTAAATGGCTGGCTGATCTAAACCAAACAATCTGCTAAAGATATTCAACCTTTTCCCCCTAATGGTCTGATAGGAGTTGGAACGTCTGGCGAATGACAAGTCCGCGTACGAGGCTAAGCTGGCTTGGAAGTTCCGCAAATGGGAGGAATTGTCGCCTTCGTTCCTTGCAATGACCGAGCGTTCACATGTGCGTCAACCGCATTCACGTTGCCAACTATGCCGCATTGTGCTGAAACACCGGTATCGCCCCCAAAATTTCACAACTTGCCTTTTTAATAACGCATGGATGCAGGACTACCATGTAAAATTGTAATAGAATCTCAGGTATGGTTCCTACACCTGGTCAGGCGGGGATCTTTCATCTGGTCCCTGGATGTTGAGGCTGGATTAAAAGGACAGCTCAATGACCGCAATGTGCGAGCGCCGCACATTACACGCACAGCAGAACATGTCACGCACCGTGAAATGTACATAACAGTTAAATCACGAAACCCCATCAACCCGCATGCAGCCAAAGATACTTATTGCCAAGCATGCATGCGTACGCTGCAAATATACGTGTGTAGCTGCTTGAAACCAGGCACCACACAATTTGAACCGAAGTCTTAATGTACAGGGCGGATCTATTTTCCCAGGCCGTGCACACAACCGCGCGGCGGTGCATTCACACGGTGGATTCGCCGGTTTTATGCTGGTACGTCTCCTCTAAAGTCGCCGATTTGGACATTGGCCTGCATGTTAGACGTCCCGAAGCCTGCACTTGTATACCAGCAGCGTCTCCTGGTGCGCGGCTTACCCAACTATGATTTACCGCCACGTCGTATTCCTGCCCGTGTGGGCTCTTGACGCCGCCATTTTGCGGCATTGAGAGGCTTGGATTGCAGGATTCTGCGGCTTTGCCGAAGACCTGGCGGATAGGCAATTGGGTCGCGCAATCATGCGCATTCACGACAAATGCAGCGGCAGGCGAGGTCGTGCTATCTATTGGCTCTGGCGTCGTTTGCTCCAGCGCCTTGAGTGCGCCTGCCTCACTGACTGTCCGCTCCAATGGCCGGCCACAAGACACGGGTCCACCGTGAATACTGCAACTGCCAACAACAGCTGTGTCGCATGTTCCAATGACCGATGAGGGTGGGTCAACGAATGGGTTGCGACCAGTCGCCCAGCCGCCATTACACGTTGACGCACAGGTACCTGATGAACCCAAGGGGTTAAATTCTGATGGAGCTGACCCAACAGTTTCCGAAAGAGATAATCCATGCAATGCGGAGGCCTCGTGGGGCTTAATGCTGCTCCTGATGGTGGCTGGCGCGGTCGAAGTTGCGGCATCAGCGGAGCTGTTAAAGAGTCCAACGACAAAAGGGTTATTCGAGTTCATGATCTTAGGCAGGGAGTTGCATACTGGCTTCTTCAACGGCTTTGGGTTGGTAAGGGATTGTCGAAAGTCAACCTTGTTGTAGGGTGGGGCTACGCTTGTCGATGCGGTTTCACCAGGTTGTCGCTTTTGCCTGCACGCAACAAAAAGAAAAGATTTGCAACGTCACAGCACAACAGGGGGCGGTTTGGAGCTGCTTCAGGCACTCACCATCGCGCCTTCCGCTCCGCAGCTCGACGTGCCATTGCTGCTTCATCACTCTCCCGGCTGTTTGCGTACAGCTGCTCAAAAGTAATTGCTGGTATCGGTGATAGCTGCTCTCCAACAGCGTTGAAGTCGTTGGCCCGACGGATACGCTCCGACAAGTCGGCCAGCATGCGGTCGTCAAGCGCGACATAGGGACGTTCCGCCGGTTGCTCCACCGCACCCCTGCCACCGCGCGCCCCAGAGATGTTTGTTACCTGCATCACGGGCAGATGGAACCGTGATGCCGTGCCAGCCATGCGCCTCTTATGCACTTCACTCCACTTGACCAAAAATCAATAATAGTAGTTATTTGGCTTCAGCACAGTAATGCGCGTTTGGGCGTTCAAGGATCTGTGCTTAAACGCTCACCTCCGTTGCGCGCGACGCTGCCATGAACTGCTGCCATTGCCGAAGGCTCTCGCCAGCAAGCCCTGGTAATGTGTTACCCTGCTGCGGGTTCCTGGAGGACAGCTCCCACTGCTGTGGCGCGGTTTGGGTGAGTATTTTCTCGACCCGCACGGGACCCGGCTGCATATCCATGTCCTATTACAGGTGTCCAGACAGTTATCGGGTGGCTTCCGTGTTGCGATGCCCAGTTTGCCTGATTGGTGCCCTGGCAAGCAAACGCACCTTAATGGGCGGTAGCTCCAGGTTTACGCTGTCCACTACCAGAGCGCGCTGGAAGCGCTGCAGGCGGAAGAAATCAAAGTCCGGTTAGTAAAGGAAAGGTTGCTTGGGTCCTCTGTTACAGATGGGTTGCCAGATGCCGTGCCTACCACATTTGCACTATCGTCATGCCTCAGCGACGGACGTGAACGTCTATCGAAGCCGTGCCAACGAACATGCTACCGGTAATCCTTTTACCTATGGCGCTGCAACAATAGAGTCCCATGCAGCTATGCAAGCTACAGCATTATCAGTACCTGCTTCTGGCGAGCAAGATTGTCCTTCTTCACTGCAATTCGTTGTGCATGCTCCCGCTGGTTTTCCACTACTGTCCTCCAGCGGCGGAAAAGCCAGTAGCTGGTGAAAGCCATTGCCGCCGCCAAGGCAACGGCCAGGGCAACCGCAGGAGCGGCAGATCGCTGCAATCATGCACGGGGCGGGTACGGTGCCATGCTACTGTTCCAAACGATGGGGCATGCGGGGAATCCTACCTGGCCGACAGGAGCATTCGACGCCTGGGTTGTGACCAGGCGCGTTAACGCTTGCCTGCACGCTTCGCTGATTTGCCGTCCAGGGGCTGGAGGTGCACAAAACCCTGATAAGCGGCGCCATGTGGGTAGTTCACCTGTTGCTAATCTTGAGAATCCTGGCGAAATTTTGTGTGAAGACTCCGCCGTTGTGCTGGCGGATGACGCAGACGGCGCACAGTCACACGCAGGCTGCGCTGGCGCCTTGCGCTGTGGATATATGAGCAGGAATGTGAGCGCTGACTGAAGCTTATCAACCAAAAGCTTCAACCAGCCAATAGGGTCAGAGAGGAGAGCTGCTAGTGACAGGCATTTGTGTGTTTGTACAATGAAGGGAACGTCGCTTTGCAAAGACCAAAAGGCCGCTCGATAAGGGTTGCAGACTTTTGTAAATAGTGACGACTGCCGGATAGCGAGTCCTCTGATCATAGGAGGTGAAGAAGCAGTGTCGAATTGGTAGCTTGACGCAGCTGCCACATTATTTGCAGCGCCTTGTGTCCGCGACGACATTCCGCGTTGATCTCTGGCAGGCGCACGCCATGAACCCATACGTGCTAAGGGAAATCGCGGATACGCTATTGATGTGCTGGCGCTACTCGCCATGGTGGACGTATGCTCCATTCTTCTTTTCTTATAGCTGACGTGCTGATGCTAAATGCGTGCAACTTATAACTGTGAGCAAGCGTAACTTGTTGGTATGTGTTTCCTTTGAAAAGCATTAGAGAGGACATTCGTGGATCCAGCATTTAAATCCAGGGACCATACACAACAGGGCAAGAATAGAAGGGCCAAGAGCACACAAACAAGGAAAACTGTGGACGCTATACCATAAAACGATTCAGAGTTGAGCAACGCAGTGATTGTGAGCGGATACCTGCTGATCAAATGTACGCAAGGGAGCGAGCACAATGGCTTGGATTCAAAACGTGAGCTGCATGACTATGCAGGTGTTTCACTTTTGCTTCCCGCTTGTCGGCAGTTTTGACGGCCCCAATTTGCTGATGCTCCGGGGGCACACATCGGGCTATCAACATGTGTTAAGCAACGGGGTACACACCACATTTTGATATAATTGTAATACTTACGCTGTCTAGTAGCATGTCTAGCAGCATCTAAACGTTTCCCCTTTTGTCAGGGTTGGCAATCAGGGACAGGGATGCGTCGACAACCGAAGGTGTAGGACTTTGCGCTGGCATTAGACACAACCTCGGTATCTGTCAACTGCAAGCAAATTTTCACTCCTGCACCACGGGATATCTGCCGCATTGCTGGTTTGCCGTACCAGTTGTTAACTCGTTGGCGGCCACCTCCCTGCCGGAAAGGGCGTGTGGCGCGCCCTACTGAGCTACCTATTCGGCCCTACCTTGCCCTTTCCTACCGTCTGTATCGTGCTATATCCCATTGTCCGTACTGTCTTCATTGTATTAGTTGGATCCTCTTGCATAATCCGTTTAAGAGGACTGATGGGCCGCCATTATTGCCGAAGTGCGTGGCTTAAGTTGAGGATTGGGGCTGCGCGAATAGATAGAAGGATTGTAAACGTGTATAGATCGTGCGCTAGTACAATAAATAGGGACGGGTGCACATTTCCTTTCCCCCCACTTTCGGGGCATACCATCGAACTTGCATTTTTCTTGCGTACTTCGTCTAGGAACTTCGGAAGGAGGGCGCATGACGTGTGTGAGAAGCTACTTCCAACAGCTGCAGTTAACTGACTTTCCCATGAACTGTACACAAAGACGTTTGGACTTAAGTCTTTAAGAAAGGGCTTGCAGCGATTCCGGGTTTGCTAATGCAACCAGATCAAACTTAAGCATCCAGGCCATTCTGGCAAACTTAATCCATCATCCACATCGCCATGCAACATGGCTTCCCCTGCCTGAGGGTTTGTACGTCTGATGCAGTTACTGCACTCATAGATCCCTCGAAATTCCTCGAAACCCTTAACCACCGAAGGCACGCATGCTTGGCGAATTTGGATATCGAATGGCACTTGTAGTGCATAACTGGTAACCAAATCGGGCCATTCGGTGTTCATTAGGAACGTAACCGGGTTGGCTATTCCGGGTGGCCCCTACACCGTGCTGGATGCCGCCGCTTAAATTGCCTTTTCCAATAAGCACGCCTACTTCGGGGTGCCCAGCTCATCTCTGTCTGTCCCCACTGCCTTCGGGGGTCCTGCCACTTAGCCTGTGCGGTCGATCTTTCCGCATGTCCATGCCGCTAGCCACCCTTTCACGCCTCTCCAACTTCAGCAGGTCTCTGCTGGGCACATCTCTGCTGTTCACATCATCACCCAGGCCTTGGCGGGGGTCCCGTTTCACTCAGTGGCAGTGTCGCCACCAAAGTGCGGTGTGGGAACTCGACGGCTGGCTCAATGTGTACGGTGAGAAGAATGATCTGCTGACCTGTACCCCAGTTATCTCATCATTTACATTAACGAATCACCATGGCCGCTAGCAGCCACAAGGGAGCCTGAGCCGAACACCTACCGCAATGTGCACATGGAATGATAAAAAAAGTGGCTGCAGCTAGGGGCCCTCGGCCATAATAGTACATATCTCGCGCCCGCACAAGCCAAGGCCATATTCGTACTAAACCTGTAAGTCTCTGCCTGTAAGCCGGGTGTTCGCAAAAGACATGCACTTCATCCGCAACAGCTCTGTAGTCACAAAGTCTGCAGGCGCACTCGTGAATTTTACAAGCAAAGCGGTTTATATCTGGCGTGAGTGAGTGGTGGCACGCTAAGCGTGTTTTAGCAGGATTTGTCGTACATGCTACACAACTAGGCTTAGGTGTTGGGGGCGCCCATGACGGGCACTTCACAAATTCTGAATAGTCAGCTCGAGCTAGTGCCATCCTCGCCCTGGCACATGACAGCTTGCGCTTCTGTGGACCAACGCTCAACCCTCCTCCAAGGAAGCAGTACTCACTCACTCTGCTTGCAGGTACCCCGCTAGGCCACCAACTTGTGTAATGGTTAGTCTCTCTTCATCTCGTCCCCCCTTCTCTCGGACTAAGCGCCTAAGCGAGAGCCCCACACCCACCACACGGACGAATTTAGGCCATTTTCGGAATGCTCTTTTTATAAAAACGTATTCTCCCAATGTTGAAGGAAGATTAATTGCCTTTTGGTCGTAAAGCCTTAGGAATAAACTGTTTCATCATGCTGAATCCCGGCCTGAAGGCTTTCCTCTTCAGCGGCATGCATGCATGGTTAGTAGCATACCATCTCCTACACCCGGTCTTTCATGTCTATTTTTGTTGAAATTGTAAGCACCTCTAAGAAGCACCCTCAAGCCCCGAAGAAACAAGCTACAACAGCAAATGTCCTCTTGACGACGCACTTAACCAAGCTCTCCAAGGTTTGGACGCGACGCTGAAGGTTTTCTCTTCAGCGGATCAGAAGATCGACGTCTGTCCACGCCGGGGTTACGGTGGTGGCTATGCGTGCGCTTCGTCCCATTCCTTCCGCATGGCGACGGGCTCTGCATGTACGAACCATTTTCGTACTATTGTTGTACGGGGGATATTAGGGCTCACTCCGAGGCATCCCCTGCCGGCATCTTGTCAGTCGGGGGCGAGTGCTATAACGCGTGTATCGCAACTTATCGACCGCCTACCCCCGCTGTGGACCATAGCGGCGAGAGTGGCTATGAATGGCGGAAACCATGAAATACCGCCTCCGCAAGAGGCCTGGAAGAGAATAGTCAAGAGCTTGGGTTGGAGGTTTGGTCAAGTGTTAGTGCATTTCTCTCAATTAACTGTCAAGTTTGCGACGACTTTATTAATGGCACCTTCTTTACGGGCTCTTGATGAAAAACATGAAGATTTTATTTTGGATGCTGTTGATATCGTCTTATCGCCGGACAAGTTGGCTAACTTGTGGTTGGGCATTCCACCGACCTCGGTTTATGGGTGTGTGTGGGAGGTTGTATGCCTCGCGGCCATCAGCTCACTCAATCTGTTGTTTAGGGAAGGTCTTCAGGCCAACATGGCCGTATCTACGTCAACACTTAACCGCATTACTTACCATGTCATCTCTGACTTTTGGGCCCGTTTAACTGCTTTTGCGGCACGGGACAACTTGCCAAAACGTTGGGAGCACGTGCCTCACAACCACCCTTTCTTATATGTCAACGACGCAGACATGGTTGTTTGCCGCTTACCGATGTACAATGATGAGGTCTGAGGGCTCACGTTGGAGCCTCATATTTTCCGTATGAGCGTACTAACTGAGGCCTTGTATCCAGTGAAGTTAGTACGGCCTGACCGAGTTCTTTTTGAATAAGGCCCACAGTGTTGTGCGGGAGGCGTTCCTAGGGGCGCTGCACTCGACCCGTTCGGGGTCTACTGTAACAATTGCATTCTCTGCCACCCCGAGCGTGGCGTTTCCGGGGCAGCACGAGTAGTCCGCCATGTCCAACACCTCTGTGCACCTGCATGCTAGGGCCTCGATGCAGCTGGCCGCTTGGAAGGCGATAGGGGCAGATGCGCGCACGTTGCACGTCTTGAAGCATGGTGTCCTGGTGACGTTTTGAGGTAACCGCCCGCCTCCTGCTTTTGACCTGCCAAGTTTTCCTGCCACAGACGAACAGAGCCGCTGATGGTTGGAGAAGGAGGAGCCTCGCCTGGTGGCTCTCGGTGCCATTTCGCGGGTCGACTCCTCCTGTGCGGTTGATCATGCTGTGAAGGCATTTTGTGTCCCGAAGCCAGACAGTGGTTCTTGGCGTTTGGTCGTCAACCTGAAGAGGATGAACATGGCGCAGAAGGCTTATAAGTGTCGCTATGAAAACCCCCCCACCCTGGCACTCCCCACCCTGCGGCGTATGGGCCTCGAGGGCTCTTGGAGGGTGAAGGTGAATTTGGCAGACGCCTTTTACCACATTCCCATTCGCCCAGCGGATCGGCGTTTCTCCATTTAATGCGCGCTTTGAGCTGTTTAGCTTGTTTTTGTTGTTGAGCGCGCGCCCGCCCGCCCGCCCGTTCACGGCGCAGCCCACGTTAGTTCAGCTGCGGTGTCTCTTTCTCCGTTCGTAAACCCAAAAGTTGGTTGGTGCAGGGTGGGCCCTATGCCGAGGCCGGCACGATTTCGGCAAGGCCCTCAAATTATTGATAAAAGCAAAGCAAGAACCTCTCCCCTGAAATAAGCTAATTACAGTGCAATTTTCAAAAAAAGGAATGACGCGACCTGGAGAAGACTCCACAGAAGTCGGTTGGAAGTCTGGGGGCCCTATGCCGAACAATGGCGCGATTTAGGCGAGTCCGGATTGGAGCAAGTAACAGGACCGAAGCTATTAGATTTAAGAAGCTCTCTGATTCACTGGAAATGACCTGCGTAGTGCAAGTGATGGGTCGAAGCGGACAAATTGGGCCAGGAGGTACTGTGAAAAGCTGAGGAGGGTAGGATTCGGGCTGGAATTAGGGAAGAGCTCTGTCGCAGAGTTAGCCTGGATTTTATTCCTGACAAAAGAATTGCTCTGCCGAGGTCTGGAATTGTTCTGGCGGACCCGCCGGAGGTATTCGAATTGCGCTGTGGAGCCTCGGAATTGGGCTGTGCTGGGCCTGAATTGGCCTGTCCGGGTGTCGAGTTGGCCTGTCCGGGTGCCGAATTGGCCTAACAGGGTATTGAATTAGCCTGACAGGGTATCGAATTGACCTGTTCGGGGTGTCAAATTGGCCTGACAGGGTATCGAATTAGCCTGACAGGGTGTCGAATTGGCTGTCAAGTTGGCAGGATTGGCTGGGGCTGGCATCCAAAAGCACATGACTTTTAAGGAATTTACAGAAAAACTTTGCAAGAGGACCGCTTACAAGTGCCTCATGTGCGTATTAGTTTCGATCCCACGACAACTTGCACACCTGGTTACCGTACTCTGGCACTACTACTACTACCGGAGGCAAGCACTCAGGGCCACGACTGCATTACCCAGTCAAGTCAGCTGCCGAGGTCCCACTGTTTTCCCACCGACAGTCAGAATTACCCTGACAGGGATACGAATTAGCCTGGCGGTACATTCCGACAGTCAGAATTAGGCTGACAGGGTGTCGAATTGGCCTGGCAGGGACATTCGGACAGTCAGAATTAGCGTGTTCAGGGTGTCGAATTAGGGAAGCACGGGAATTGTGCGACTGGGGCAGCCAAAAGAATTGCTCTGCCCGACAGTGTGTCCTACCCTCTAAAAGCTGAAGTTGTCCTTGCCTCGGTCTTGTCCTTGTATTTGCCAGCCCGTCTTCGGTCTGGACTTGTCACGACGTTAGGCTCCATTTGACTCGGTACCGAGTCGTGCTCCTTAAGGCAAATCCGACTCCGGACCTACCTCCATTTTATTTTTAAATTGCAGCTGTCGGCCTTTTGTATGTTTGTTGTTACAGGGTGGTTAAGCTTCACCAGCGGCCCCCTTTCCCGAGGCAGTCCCTGTATTGTTTATAAAACATAATGCACCGAGTTGTCCTAGAGCTACTGCCAGCGCAACACGTGAACTATACGGGAAGTACCGTAACACCCATACCTGCTTGAAAGCTACTGCCTTTGGGGCACGGGCAGCTACCTGCAGTCTGGGATTGTTACAGTGGACCTCGATCGGGTCGACCGCAGCGCGACTGCAGTGCCTGAAGTGACCGCCAACGTATGACGGGAAGCTGCGTATATACTGCGCCAACGCAGGGCGGGAAACTATGCTGAAGCTATTAACACAAACACTGCCACATCCTCATCCTCTGAGACCGCCAAAGTAAAACCTTCACAAGAATTCATACAGCGCGTCCTACCCACGCTCAGTCGTCCAACGAACAGGCTTTAAAGACATAGACGCGCCATCCTATGGTAGCCTCCGTCTTTCCTAACCTTCACCGCAGCCATAACCACGACGCCACTTTGTGAATAGGGCTTGCAAAGAGTGCGCCGAGTGCGCAGCAGTTTCCCGCACGGCAAACAAATTACGTAGGATGGTGAAGACCAGCTCACCACAAAAAGGCCGTTCAGTCCAGCTTAAGACCTCATTCACTCAGTTAGCAGCCCCTTCGTGGCCTCACATCTGTTAAAACCCCCAGATCCACTACTTGCGGCTACTTGCGGTATGGAAGAGCCCATCGAAACATACTACCAGGGAGGGGTAAGGGAAGCCTTAGTCGATACTACTTCTTCATCCGGGCATATTCTCCACGTGCCTCTGCATCCCGGCCGCATGGGATATGCCGCAATAATGGAGCTGTCCGCAATCAATGATGTTTGGCGGGGGCTTTCAGGCGAGCCACTGCCCGCCAGCCAATATCGGAGCGGTAGTACGCGTCTGCCCACTCTATTTGCTTGACAGCCTGCACGCGGCCCATCGTGCGAGGGAAGGGCGCTGAGGACGAAAATAGGGTATGGGTGTGAGAGATGTGCAATCCCGCACATCTCTCATACGTCACAGTTTAAAAATACACCAGCTGTCGCCGAGAACTGCGTAGGCCGCTCAACATTCGCCTGGGGATTACATGGCCTGGGTTGCTTCCCCAACCATGCATGAGGATCACTGATTTCTTGGAACCCTAAGCGGAACGGGAAACCGCTTGCTTTACCTGTTTTCCACCTTACCTGCATGCGCAGGGATCAAACAGCATTCCCCTGGCACCTAAAATTGCCCCGGCACCTTCCGCTGTGCCGTGTTATCGGTGTCCGAGCTGCACCAGAACCCCCCCCACCAAATCAGAACCAAGCACTCGGATAGCGAAGGAACCCGTCAACCCCAGCCCACACACCTCGTACGCCCGCGCCTGCGCCTCCGCAACGTCCTTCCCGAGTGCCGTGACGTTGAGCACCCGACCCCCGTTGGACACCACCTCCCCCGCCGTGTTGCGGGCTGTTCCTGCGTGGAATACCTGCACAGCCGCAGCAGGGGCTTGTAAGTGCAGCAGCAGGAACGGCAAAATGCCGAAGCGAGATACAGCCGCAACGATGGGAAATGTTGCTGAGCTTTGTCATTATGCGTAACCCACATCATGCCTCCGTATCGCACCGCATTGGGCATCGCACGAAGGTCATTCTGCGCCGGAAGCTGCAACCGCAACTTGCTGGGTAGCTGACACTTCACCGCTTGCCGCCCTACCCACCTTGGCAGTTGTAACCCGGTCGAGGCCCCTGATGACGGAGCCCTTGAGGTGCTTTCCGGGGTAGCCATTTGCCGCCATAACCACAGTTAGCGCCGCCTCAGGCTTCCACATCAGATTCACGTCATCCAGCTTGCCTGGCAGGAGACACCGGGGAATGGGACGGGGTATGACACCACAGGCGACGACACGCTCGGCGCGTAACAGCAGGCGCCGCACGTTCATTAGTATAAGCAAGCAACCCGCGCTAACAATCAGGATCCCGGCATAACTGGCGCAGGAAACGGAGAAGAGGCATCGCAACGCACTTTTTTGGGCGAAAGTGTGTTTTGGCAAACAGAACTTAAAAAGCACCCTCCGTGTAACAGGGCGGAGGATTGTGTACAGACTTCGTTTTTTCTGCAGGGGGCATATTAAGTGACAGCTGTAACTGACCTCCTGTTTACCCAAATGAACCACGTACATGCACATCTCCAACAAGTGTCTCCAAGCAGTACATCCACACTCACCCTGCGTAGCCCGTAGCAGCGCTTCCGTGAGGTCCGAATCACAGCGAGCCATAAGGCCCTGGCACTCCGGATCACCGAAGCGCACGTTGTGCTCCAACAGCTTTGCCTGAAGGTGAAGGAGACGTAAAGCATGGCAAACTAAGGAGTCATCAAACATGGTGATGATGACGACCTGTTGACCTTGCCCTTCCCCTTTGCGTCTGTCCACGCAACCCACCTTGCCATCCTTGATCATAAGGCCCGCGAAAAGAGTTCCGCGAAACGGCGCCCCTTCGGCTGCCATACCACGCGCGGTGCGGTAGATGATCTCGTCCATGACCTACGTGAGGCACCCATGGCGCTACTTGTTTACACGCAGCCTGTACACTTGGGCGATGTGCCAGCATATCCAGCCCCGTATGATGCAGCAAGAAACCTAAAAATCCTCCCTTGCCTTTTCCCCATCGCCAGCCGCTATGGCCCACCTGCTTGAAGATGGCTTCGTTCATGACAGGTGCAGGCGAATACGCCCCCATACCGCCTGTGTTCGGCCCTGTATCTCCATCTCCAACGGCTTTGTGGTCTTGTGCTGAGACCTGCGGAGCCAACCCGCGCATACACATGGCTCGCGTGTACACACGAATACGCGGTCAACTCGCCATAATTCGTTAAACTGGAGACCGATCGGGGTTTGACGTGCAGCACGGCAGCATTAGCATAATCATGAGCCTTAGACGCGGCCAAGCGGGACTCTTTTTATGCGTCCTAACCTACATGCTACTCCCGCCAGTTCCCGCCTCCTACCCTCAGCATGGGCCCATCGCACTTACCAGGGGAATGGCCGCCTCTCCGTCAACGAGCGCAAAGAATGAGACTTCCTCACCATCCAGGAATTCCTCAATGACAAGCTCATCACCTGCAGGTGCGGCAGGTGCCCGGCCGATAGAAACCAGTCGTGGTGTTGGCCATAACAGAAGCAAGCCACAACAGGTGGAGCTCGGCCAGCAACACAAACGGCAATACGAACCAAATCATCAGCAATCGCATGAGGAGCAATTTAAGCAGCAAAAAATCGGGGCCCTATGCGCCCTTTCACTTAATGCCATCACTCCGACAGCCCGCTCCGCACCTGCACCTCCGAACACTTTATGCACCAACATATCGTCCACTGCCTGGTACGCCTCCTCCACAGTACGAGCCACAACCACGCCCTTGCCTGCAAACAGGTCGAAAAGGAGCAGGCAGGCAACTCCGTTCGAAGCCCGCCAAATGGGAAACTTCAGGAACGACGTCAATATAGAAAGCATATATTACTATCACTGAACAAGTAGGCGCGATCCATGAGACACTAGAAACTGGCTCTGTTTATTTACTTTTCACCGCTTGCAGCTTTTGCACAAGCCATCGCTCCAGATTGGACAAAGTGTCCTTACCGCTGACCGGTTTCCGGGGAGGCAATTTGTATGATCCCTGGAGGACAAGTACACAGCACATCATGCCTTCATTATCAAGCGCAGTCCGATTCCACGTGGTGTTCAGAATGGGTTGCAACCCAGCACGCACGAAAAGACACACACCCGCCATACGCCTCCCCTCTCCCGTGACACGTAGTGCCGTACCTGCCGCTAGACCGCTAGCCTTCACGACGATAGGCGCGCCCAGATGTTTAATGAAGGACTTCGCGCGCGCAGGGTCCGTGAATTTCTCATAGGCAGCTGTGGGGATGTCGTACTTGCGGCAGATGTCCTGCATGCACACAGCATCAAAGGACATGCATGGAAGGCCGCATCGCCGCGTGGCACAACCTCGGCTCCCGGCCCAGCGTGTGGACATTAACATTGCACCCGTGCTGTTACCAGTCCGAAACGTTACACCACGTAAACATCTCCAGTACAAGCAGTTTGCCAATCAGGACGTAAACGCCACTTCAGTGTGTCAACGAGTTCAATGCCTTTTTAAGGAAGACGCTCCTCCATCCCGCTAACGAGCCCCACGTACACGACGCTCCCATCCGCATCCCCTACCTTCATAAACGCCTTGGAGCCCTCCAGCTGCGCCGCCCGTGCGCTAGGTCCCCAGGTGGGTATTCCGGCTGCCTGTACACAGCGGAGTGGCAGGAGAACCACCGACGTGTGGCAGCGTAAAACCCTGGGGGTTCACTCCTTACTCCCCCCGCCAGGGTTTATCGGACAGCATGACTAAGCTTCTAATTCCGAGATATGAAGGAGAAGCAATGGATGACCCTTGCGTAATGCGGCTGAGTGCTAGCTCATGACGACATGCAGCATGGCCTGATAGCGGCAAGGAGCTGCTCCTATGTCGTGTATCCTCTCCATTCGTCGGACCCTGGAGCCCGCGAATGTGCTGCGTCTCGTCCAGGACCTGGAACCATGCTTGTAGCTCCCGTGCGGGTAGGAGCTGGTGTGTACCACCGCGTCGGGCCATTGCAGAAGGTTGAGAAACCCTCCCTTTTGGGAAATCGTCGGCAGCCACCCGAAGAGGCTATATGGGCGGCACAGATCGCCACAGCTTGTTAAGATCCTGGAAGTAACTCCTGCCGTGGGAATTTGTCACAGCTTAACAAAAAGCAGTGACCTAAAAGCCTTCCAACAGTGTGAAACTGGGTCCCCATGGTACAGGCGCCAGGGCCATTGCGTGGGGTACAGCGCTGTTTCAATACGCTGCTTTAGGGCGGCGATCTTAAAACTTTTCACCATTCGGTAATTTGTTAGGGACCAAGTAATTACTGTGAGGGTCTCCTATGGTAACCACCTTATATTTTTTTCCCGGTGCCGTCACTCCGCACATGTGTCCTCAGCGCCGCAGCACAGCTGTCTGTGTTTCGTAACAGCCCATCAGGAGGGCTTTCAACGCAACCGTCTTTGGTGTCATTTTCAGAATTAAGCCATCACTAGTCCACAGAGTAGTGCATTATTTATAAAGAGCTGCCGTCTGAGCAAGCCGCCCGTCTGCTTTGACAGGCGGATAAGGCGTAATACACGACCGCCAGAGCGAAATCTCCACTTAATATCTCCACATCAAAATTAGAAGGTTGGAAATGTTAATTTTCGGGGGAATTTAAGAATTTGTCGTTGGACGCAAGAAGTCCACATTTTCGTTGGGTGTTAGGTGTCAGTCGTTTGCTCCCCAGCTGTCAATTGCAGACTAGATTCTGGGAGTGAGCATCCTTGCGTTGTCACTCTCATCCCCAGGTCGCCAACACAAATGAGATGGATCACCTGCTTGCTATCATTAACGCTGCTGCTGCCAAGGTGGGGGACGCGTCGGGCATCAAGGGTGCGTGTTCCAGCATGTGTCTTTGTCGCACTTCTTCCAGCAATCAACAGCCGTCATACTTCAATACCAACCGCATAAACGCTGCGACGCTTAGCATGCCGCATCATTTGCGTACCCCATGGCGGCAACAAAAACCCCATACGCAGCACGGTAAATACCTGCATGTCGTCAGCGAGGCCCGCGACGAGCGGCACCTCGGGGCCTACCACCACAAGCCTTACATCCCTTTCCCGGCAGAATTGCACAACCTGAACGATTAGCAAGGCAGTTCAGCGGCGGAGGGCCACGAGAGGGTAATTTGCCAAATGCAACCGAAGTCCCAAAGCAGAAGGCCTTGACCAAGACACGGGGATGGGCCGGCCCTCTTCTGCCCTAGATGCCGTTGCATCAGTTGCATTCCAGTCAAGCTTTTTCCAGCCTTACAGCGCCCACGCACCAGCCGAACACTTACTTTCTGATGGTTGGCCACATCTATGCCGACATTTGTCACATTCGGTTCTGTCTCTGTACCCGGATTACCCGGGGCGCAGAACAGATGATTGCATATGGGCGATTGAGACAATTTCCATGCGAGGGAGTGCTCACGGCCACCCGAGCCGATGACGAGCACGTTCACCTGCACGACCAGCCGACCGGCAAGGGCTGAGGAGATTGGCGCACGTCAAATCCCCCGAAAGCTATCACCTTATTAGCAGAAGAAGCTGAAACGCATATCCTTCGCCGGCCACGCAATACGTTCCGCCCGCCGACACTCGGCATTCGTAGTCTTTGCATGGTTTACTGGTGGATAGCAATAATTTACAGCGGTCTAGGTAATAGGTCAAATTCTAGATGATGCAATGCCCTCGACAAGACGACGGAGCTGCTCACGCGTTATGAACTCTTTTTTGCAATTGGCGCTGGGACCTACTCAACGTCACGCAGCGACAACTGTTGATAATTTAGTATGAAGCCTAGGTAGTGTGACTACGACGACCGAATGACGGCTCCAAACCGCTCCAGCAACGCCGAAACCAACGTGACAGATGAAAAACGTGAAACAGTATAGATGCATTATCCCCCTACCCCATCTTCCCTATGCTGTTCATCCTGTTTCAAAAATTGTATATTTGCATGTTTAACGCTTTTGCTGCCAACCCGCCAAACATGAGGTTGGCGCATCGGAACGGCCCAATTGGTGCTTTGCCCCAAAGCCGTTGTGAAAGAGAGTCAAGCAATATATTCGTGCACGTGCGCACCTCATGTTTGTCTCAAACGCAGGGGCCAAACAAAAACCAAGAAAGGCAGGGAAAAGGGCAGTGGCAGCATACGGCCAGTACGGACTAAGGCATGCCATTTATATATGCCGCGGTTTGAGCGTTTTATTACCTTTACGCAATTAGGATAAGATTAGGGCGTCTCGCTTTGGCGATCGCTGCGCGAACGCTTTTTGCGGGGGACTGCGCCACGGCCCACCACACGGGGTCCCGCAATGCCGGCTGCGCTCCGAATTGGCGCGATTCCGGCTATTTAGACAGAATTGGCCCCTCCCCTGCTATCGACGGGGACAGTTCCCCCCGCTTGCGGCGGCGGGGCCCGGCACCAGCGCCCGACGACGGATGGCTGAACCCTCAGTGGCGACCGGCACTGCCGCGACCGGCCCCGTGAAACCCACGACCGCTACCGCCCAGCCCGCCATGGGGCATCCAGGAGATCCACCGCTGGTGGTCGCGTGTCTGGCGGTGAACCAAACCACCCCATGACGGTGATTGTCAATGGTACCGATCGTCCCCGACCCGTCGTACTGACCTGTCCCAATCCCACGGTGCGGCCCACCACCTCTCCAACTAACGATGGCTCGAGAGGAGCAGGAGAAGCCCCGATCAGCGAAGTCCACGGATCCGTCCGCCCACGTACGGGGGACATCACGCCACCTGCAGCGTCCCCAGAGCTGATTTCCCCGAGACACTACCCTGGCAGAGATCCTGGAGGGCCTGGTCCGTGACACTGACGCAATGGAAAAACTTGAGTGATGTCCCGAAACAGCGCCAGCAGGAAGGCTGCACACCACTACTGCGGATCGGCACCCACAATGTCCCCAGCCTGCTGTGTTCAGGGTACAACTCGATTGAGTGGACCACAGCCATTCTGCGGACCTGGGGGCCGGGAGCGCCTTGATATCATCTGTCTACAGGAGACACACGTCACGGAGCCACGACTTTTGGAAGGCCGTACCCGGCTTAGTTGGATGTCACAGGCCCTCCACCTGGGCCAATGTGTACCTTGGTGGAGCCCCGCGCTATCTGCAGGCAGCAGTGGGCCGGCCATTCTCGTCCGCAGCGGCCTTTTGACCTCGGGGCCCTTGACCTTCTCTGGGGGGCAGGTGCAGCCCACCATTGCTACAGACGGACTCCTGCTGCGCATGAGGGTTTGCTTGGGTGGCGATACGTTTACACTGGTGCCTGCCTAATCACCTAGTGGAGACCTGCCAGTCCAGCGACCTTTCATCCAATCACGCCTTCAGCCGCTATTGGCGCACCTCGGGCTTCACGTGTGGGCTGCTGAATTTCGCCGCCATACCCCACATCGACTCCACGGCGCCGAATGGACGCCCAGCTGGTGTAGCTACGGCCGCGGTATTCACGCCAGCATGCCCGGGCCTTGTGGATTCTTTCCGAGTCGTCCACCCAACGCGACGGTCGTACACCTTTCTTCACACCGTGGGCGCGTCCCGCCTGGATTGCATCGTTGTCTACAGCAGCCTAGAAGCGGCCATACATAGCAGCCATGTGGGCCCCAGCACACCATCAGATCACCGCCTCATGATCACGACACCTCACTCAGGGCCGGGAATACGCAGAACCCACCCCGATTAACGAGAAGCCCTAATGGGTGTGGGTGGCTATGACCGCTGCAGCGGTGCCCACTTTACCAGAGGAATTGGTAGGATGGTGGCCGGAATCCAAGAAAGCCCTCGCCATCTCGGCCGCACGGGTTAATCAAGTTGCAAAGACACGCCACCTCGTTGCAGCGGCGGTGGAGGCTGCAGCCCAGGCCCAAGCTGTTGCCGCCCTGGCGGACGTGGAGAGGGGGGCCCATTGCAGCACTACCTAGGGGATTGCGGGCCCGATCGGCTCAAGCTGAGGCGGGCTATTGCGCGGTGGCGGGAACGGCTCGCTGCACACGGGAGCGCCCGTCCCAACCTTCACAAAGTACATCCACCTCCGGGCGCCTGTCGTCGATCCTAGCACTTCACCGGCCTGACGGATCCCTCTGCAACCAAGTGCGCCGGCTCCCCAAGGTCATGGCTCAATACTGCCCGGTCGAGATATACAGCAGCACCAAATGCGCTCCCATACCTGCCGCGGTTTTCTCGGCCATGGGGGATATCGACGCGGTTCCGATCGGGTTCTTGGAAGGGGTCATATCGTCCTTTCATAAACCTGGTGTCCCAACCATGCCTGCCAACATGGCCCCATTACCCTTTTGGGAACGGACTACCGTACCCTGGCCAGAGTCCTGGGCCGTCGGCTGCAACCTGTGCTTGACAAAGTCTTAGATAATACGCAAACGTCTTTCCTGTCTGGTCGGCGCATAGCGGATAGTGTCATCCTCGTGCAGCTTCTGCCAGCACTGCTTCGCCTGAAACACCGGATTTGCCATCGCGGAGCTCCTTGACTTCTTCAAAGCCTATGATATTTGGGATCGGGAATTTTTGTTTCGGTGGCTCAGCACCCTCAGGGTTGGGGACGGATTTATTGCGTCGACACGCCTCCTTCTCACTAGAACCCGACCTACAGTGCTGTTTAATGGATACCTGTCTGACTGGGTAGACATGGAAGCGCGGGGGGCCCGCAGGGGTGCCCCCTATCGCCGTTGGCTCCGTTTTTTTTCTGGTTTTTTTCCGGGAACATTAGTCGTGCCGATATCCACTTTACAGCGCAGTTTGCTGACGACCGTGCGCCCCTCCTCACGCAGCTGGTGGACCTTCACGCTTTACCGCCGCCATGAGCATCTTCCAGGCGGCATCCGGACGTCTTAATTCAGTTAAAGTGGAGCTGCTCGCCCTTGGCTCCTTCAACCGTGGAACACATCCGGCGGGGCTGCCGCCACTGTAGCAATATCCCCCAGCGGCCACAGCCCCACCTGCCGGGCCTGCAACCGCCAACCCTGGCGCGGCGGTGGTTGGGCCCTATGGCCAGCCCACAGTTGGTGCTGTTGCTGAGGGCTTTCGGGTCGTCGCAACAGCCAAAACGCTAGGGGTACGTTTTGCCTAACAGCCTACCCTTCAGGACAGACAGGTGTCTCTGCAGGAAGTGATGGAAAGCCTCGACAGAGTGGCCCGACTGCAATTGTCTACTTTCGGCCGATCTTTCGCCGCCCCGGGATACAGCATGAGCCGTGTCCTACACCACCTTGAGTTTATGGGGCCGCTGCAGTCGACCGCAGTGCGTGATATGATCGCAGCTGCGGCAGCCGTTGTGGACCGGAGACTGCCACCATCTGCTCGGGAAAACATGGACCGCCGCCGTGGACCGGGGGTGGGTGTCGCGTATATGCCGTTGACACCTCGCCTTGGGGCCTTCGGCCTTGGGCCGAGCATGTCCAGGCACGTCATGCGGCGCAAGCAATCCGCGGATACGATGGTTTTACAGCTTATTTACCGAAATGCATGAAGCATACAAATTGTTATATTCTCTTCGCTCATGAGCATTAACATAATTGGATAGGCGGTAAAATAAGTAATAATGAGCCGGACAGTTATTTGTGGGGTGAGGGAATTACTGAATATCATGCAACGGTTCTTAACATTGCGTTCCGGAGGTATTTCGCTTGAAGAATTTATTGAGGAATGCAATCACATATACAATAGGAATTATTACTTATCTCCTGTGGTAAACCGACGCAATAGCAAGATAGAAAAATAGTTACTGGAAAAATGAAAACTTCCGTATGCTCGTGGTTTTGTTTTTGCTGTTTATGTAAATAGCCTTACCAAACTTCATGATCGGCGGCTTCATCATGGGGAGCGGTCAGGCGGGCCATTCTGAGACACCGCTTCCAACTTCCTCGCGTTCCGCGTTTCACGTGTGTTGTTGTGAGGGCTTATCCTTCGCCCATGTGTGCCTGATTTTAGGTGCCCTCGTCGGTCTGCGTAATTGCATCGTCATGATCGTTCCCGTATGATAGCGCTCCCGTCTCTCCTGGGTGAGCTCTTTTGCGTACACTAGAGCTTCTGGGTACGAATGGGGGATTTGGCGTTTTGCGCCTAAGTGACGCGCTCCATCTGTTTTTTCTGGGTTCGCACCCGTTTTTGTCAGTGGTGGTAAGGCTGTGCCTCGCCATTTTTGTACGCCCATCCTGGGTTTTTATCGCCTGTTTCAGGCAATTTATACACTCGCTGAAAGACCCCTGCGTGTGGTTCAAGCACTAAGCCGTTCTGGCTCCGCTGTAAGGATTGCTTTATGCCAGGTGATGTAGGGCAAAGCAGCACGCTCCACATTTCCAAAGGGTTGCAAGATGTCGGTGGGAGCTTTAAGCGGACGCACCCAGAGTTCCATTTGAGTGGCTGGACGTGCTGGCTATAACCGCATGAAGAACATCGTGGACCTCATCGACGTGTCTCTTTGTCGTCATGTCGTGCTACCTGGGGAAGCCTCCAAACTCGCCACTCGACCGTCAAGCCCCTACCCATCTAATAAAGCATCATTCTCCCCATGGTATCACGCTACCCTTGGTCCGTACAACGCGTCAACGATGATTCATTTCACAAGCATGCCCGCCCACGAACAGAGCGGCGATCTGGGCTTCGGCTTCGGCTGCTGTGATGCCGGTCCCTGCATCGCTCCATAGCCTCGCTAATGGCCCCCCTTCGGCCGCCATCCCCACGCCTGCTAATCGGGCTGCACCCTTCCACCCCGCCCGGCCCCGGACTGTCGTGGCGCCGTTGCCTTGGGCATCTTCCAGCATCTGCCCGCTCTACAGCCCCGGCCACTTCCCTAGACCCCTGCCCAACCCACTCGCCAGCACTCGCATAGCCGCTGTTACCCCTGCCATGACCGTCCCAAGGGTTGCCACGCGCAGCATCGAATGCACAAGGCCCTTGCCGGTCCCCTGCCGCAAAGCCTCCGTATAGTTTAGCCTGCATTCCTGGATCCCGACGCCTGAACCCCATGGGCTCACAGCTGCGGCTCCGGCTGCGGACATGGCGTCGGTCGCGGCCTGGGCTGCGGCTGTCGCGGTGGGAGTGTCGCTGCTTCCGTGGGCTGTAGCTGCGGCCGGTCCGGGGACTTGGACTATAATTGCGTCCGTGTATTAGCATTTGCTGTCTGTCGACAACATCACCGGGGCCGCTACACTGACGTCTAGTACCTCCTATGGACGCACGATCATGGAAGTGTGTAGGACTTCCATGATCGTGCGTCCACAGGAGGCTATTGCCTCGCTCCACGGGCTCCAGACACCCACCTCGGCCCTGCGTCTTTGCGCCTTCGCCTTCCCTCCGAGCCTTTTTAAGCTCCTTCTTAGACCTCTTCATTTCCTTCTTAGCCTGGTGGCATTGCAAATACAGTCGTGGGCTCATTGCAAGCGCCCGTGTAGGTTGCAGCGAGAACAACAAGAAGACGATTGGCGCGCCATGCGAAAACTGGAGCCCATGATGCGCACGGGGTGAAGGGACAGCCCGCTACCTGCTAACATTGTGCCGCGCAATATTCCAATGTCTCCCCTAACACCGAAATTGGGCTGTTTATGCCCCTTTCCAAAGTAAGTTACAGCTTCTCTTTGAAAAGGAACATCTTACGCCACCCACAGATCTCCATCCTTACCAGATCATCCCGCCTGTTCCCATAGCTCATGAAGCCAAACCGCAGTTCCTTATATACCCTGCTCACTTTCTTGGCGTCCTCTTTGGCTTCCATCCTGGACCGCTTTTCCGCCCTCCGCAGCGCCTTGAGGTGATCCACAGTCCCATGAGTAGCCAGTGCTACGTTCGCATCTGACTTCAAGCCAGTTGAAGGTGCCGCTGCGCCTGCGGACGCTAGCATCTGTGGCGCTTGCTGCGCGTTTGGCCCGGGGCCTGTGTGGCCCACGCCAGGCAGCGTAGTGTGCACAGCCTCGGAGGGAACCCCGGGCCTGCGGGCATATGCGTGCATGGATATGCATATGGGTGAGGTGCCAATCTTAGCGCCTATGGAGATGTGGGTTGCAGTGCACTTGCTTAATTGCATAGTCCGTGAAACGGGCGGGGCCTGTGTTCAGCTTGCGCTTATATAGGACAGAACGGTGAGGCGACCTCGGGCAGGCCGGAACGGCCATACCCAAAGGCACTGTTCTCACCCGAGTACGTAGCCCAGCCCCTTCATCCGCTGCGCCTCATGCGCGGTCGCATCAACCTTATCAAGCTGCTCATGTTCTTCCTGCCTCCCCTTGATCAATTCGTTTAATTCATGCTTGTCGAACTGTGGGGCAGGCTTGCTCGCCGTCTTAGGTTTGAGGCCTAGGACCTGCGTGTTACGGGCAACGCGGTATGACTCGTTCTCATTACATGAACATAAAATAGCCATAGTAACCCCTCACCTCCATCATCAGCTCCTCTTCCCTCTTCTTAACAGCTTTTATCTCATCCTGAACCGCATCTTGCGCGGACTTGTCCCGGGTGTACCAGTACACGTCCCGGCCTGGATCAACAGAGGAGGCGATAACTCGCACACCAAGGAGCCAATCCACTTTGCAAGGTGGACTTATGGCATACACACACGACGCGGCTCCAATCCAAAAGTCGAACCAACCTGCCTTTCTGCCAACGCCCCGCAAGTGCCTTGACAGAGTGGCCTAGGTAGTATTCTCGATCCTTATCCGTCTTAACATTGTCCCAATTGAATTGGTCCCTCCCGCCGCGTGCACCTGGGCGCGGCGGGCCATTGTAGAGGCTCATGGCGCAGTAATTAAGATTAACCAGGAGTCATCAAAAGTCCTATACTGGCTTTATGTATATTACTGTGACGTCAAAGGATATGATTTTCTAGCCCAGTGCGAGCTGAGGCAGCATCTTGGGAAGGTCCCAGCTTCCAATTATCGCATTACGAAACAACATTTGTATGCGAGGTAAATATGGCCATAAAGGCGAAGGTGTCGAATGCTGTACGGTTCTTGCCAGCCAATTGGTCACGGAAAACACCCGCCCGGGACGAGAACAGGGATACGTGCTGTTTGGCCGCGAAGGCGTGTACTTAGGGAAAGAAGAGATAGTCATTAAATTGCATAGTTAAATATCCAATGGCGCTTAACACTCCACCCCTTGCAGAGGTATTGGAGTTGCTTGGCAACCAAAAGCACTTGCAGCGCGAGAAAGGACTATATAATTTGTCTGTTTTCCTGAAGGGAGAAGGTAAGACTGTACAAATTTCAGGGAACTATGCCAACCCACGGATAATTGTAACTACGGGGTGCAGCTTGATAATAATACCTTTTGGCCTTGCCTCGTTGACTGCCTTACAGGCGCGAAGCAAAGTGCTGTGGAAACAGGATTACTGGGGCTTTTGGCTCAGCAGGCATGGGAGAAGAAACTCGGTGGCCTCATGGGTGCCAAGGTACGCATATTAATTTGACGGGGCTGCAAACAGCTTCCGTGTCTCTCGAGGTAAGTGTGGTTTAATACACCCCTGCAGGCGGGAGTGCGACCCCCTATAAGCCTGCAAGGGAGGACCCTGCCTCTAGCCGGCTCCCGCGCCCCCGACACGTATCCAAAGTGCTCGCACACCTCCCATGAGCAGTGCCAGATTCCATTCTGTGCACACCAGAAACATAATTTACGGCACCATGCGGCAATGGCTCAAGCAGCGGACCCACACACTACCGCGAGCCAAATGGCGTAGTAGCAAGGAGTGTTGAACATGGACACATGGTGGGGCTGTTTGAGCTCCTAGTGCTATTCAATCCTAGTGAGATGGTCTGACAGAGCACTATTCCAGCTTTTAACGACCCCTGGTCCTAGTCCTTATGGCAACCCGCCTAACCCATACATATAACTTGCCCTCAGGTTTATGTGGACATGACGCAAGCCGATGAACCCTTCCTAGAGCAGTTACGGCTAGCGGCAATGGAGCTGCTGGAGGATAGCGAGGTAGGGCAGCGAACCTGGGAATCCACCTATCATACAGATGCAGTAGGGCTTCCACGCCACAGCTACGCCAATGCATTTTGCGATACATATGTACGTTGTCAACCGGTAGGCTTGCAGGCCGCCCCACGCTGCTGCGCTATCACCATCCGTCGAGGCAGTTGAGCGCGAGAAATCCAGCGTTCTGTGCGTTCTGGAACCCCGGGGCACCAGACCCTGCTGCATCCTAGCGCCCTGATGTTGGCAACGCAGCCGCCAACCTATCGCCCTCGCTATGCATGGCATTCCGAGTTGCTGCGTATGTATGCCTTGGTCCAAGTTTAAATCATGTTACTCGCCTTCATTCATGCTGCGTCAGGTCCGAGTGCGGCTGGCGGTGGGAGACTGCCTCAAGGTTGGAACGAGCGGCCTTGGATAAGCACCCACGCGGGGGATGCGGGATGATGCAGGGGCCTGTCTTTACTTGATGCCGAACATGGAGGAGGGTATGTATGTAGTCGACATGCGGTCCTCCAAGAGTGGTGACGGTGTTGAGAATGCGAGCTGAGCTGGCCAACCGGCCAACATAGAGAACGACATGTAATTGATATGTGTTCCCTCCCCGTAGAATCGGGCTTTGGGCCAAGCCCTGGGTCTCACGAAATCCACCCTTGCATTCGGATACTCTTCGCGCAGGCATGATATCACTGAACCGGCCATCGCCAATTTCTCCCCTTTTTCCGACCCAGGCACTTGCACGGCGCCAGGGTATGGCCATAGTGGAGGCTTGCCTACCCCAGGTGCTGGAGAGCATCAGCAAGAATTTTGTGAGTAGCGAAGTGTGCTTCGCTAGCTCGTAACATCGATTTTCAGAGTCCAAAACGGGGCGGTTTGTAAGTCCTGACTCTGAGCACGAATCCCTTGACACCGGGAGTCGACCTTAAGAGATAAATCCGTATGGATTAGGAAGCTGCAGGGCTGTGCATGGATATGGTCCCTTTTTGTTGCGAATTTCAAAGGTATGAGGCTTTGGGATGATGCCTGTTTGTCTATGTCGAGCAAAGGACCGCGCTGAGGACGCGGACGAGGAGGCGGAAGGCCCCGACGGCCAGCGGCTCCGCACAGCCCCGATGGTGGATTTCGTCACGGAGTCCCCTGCACTGCCCGGATCCCCTGTGGAGCGACCCTCATCGCCGTTTATGATGGCGGCCAGGGAGGAAACGGAGGCGGAGACAACGGGGGAGCTGTCAGGTCCTGGTCCTGCAGCTGAGATGAAGGCGCAGGAAGTGATGCAGCCGGCTCAGCTAGAGGAAGCAAATGGATGGCGACAGGGGGGGGAGCTGCCATCCCAACTGGAAGGGAGCAGCGACGCTGGCTGTGGCGTAAGCCGCGTCGGGGCCAGTAGCGGGCAGAGGGACTTGCAGGTCAGCCGGTCCACAGAGTCCAGCGGCAGCGGCGGGAGCCTGGTCACCATGCTGCTGCAGGTAGGTTATTGCCAGGGATTATAACGCAACCCCCCTGCCCATCCAAGGTGGAGGTTATTTCACATGGCATTCAGGCTTGCCTTTACTATATAGGCATCCGCTTTTTCCTTTTACCCAAACATCCATGGAGAATGGGGTTTCAGCAATTGTTGTCAGGGCTGCTTGGGACTGGCGCCGCAGCAGCTAAGCACTGCCAGCGCCAGGCTATAAACAATCTTTGGAACTAACCGCACAGCAATATTGCACAGCCTACTCCTAGGTGCGTGGCTAGGTGAGCGGATAGGAGGAGCTTGGCTGCTCGAAGCCCTGCCTTTGCCACCACAACCTATAACCACACACTGTGTGCTGCTTCGGATATTGTGTGTCTACTATTGTATCTTGAAAGAAAGAAAATATCCACGCAAACAATGCCTGCCCGTCGTCCAGAGCACGTACCGCAAGGTCCGGCCCGGTCATGGCGAGATGCGTCACGCCACCGAAGGCTGGAAGTGTCTGGAAACTAGCATGAAGGCGCTGCAGGCTCTCGTGGAGGGATGTGGCCCCGCCATAGGGCCTCTTTTGGACGGGCCACTACGGGAGCTGCTGTACAAGGCTTTGCACCACCCCAACAGGTGCGACCTCATCGCATGGTATCGCGGTGTGAAAGGTAGTGCCTGCGGTTATGGAAAGATAGATCCACCGGCTACGAGTATATGTCAAAGAACGTTGGCCGGAGAAATGACGGGAAACACGCGACTGTGTTTCATATATATATAGGACATGCTTTCAACGGATCCCAGACATAACTCCGTCGGAATGTATGCCAGAGGACCCTGACTGGCGAAATGGAATGCGGGCTAGAGAAATCTGACTGACTAAAACAGAGGAGGTAACCTCTGCTACGAGTTTCCTTATTTTTTTAAATATAGAAGCTAGCTTACCGATCAAGCTAACTTATGCGCTATATTTCCCTCGCAGCCTGTTATCTCGCGTTGTTTGCTTTAAGTACAAGGGATTTTGGCGGTGTGGCAATTGTGCATTACAGGGAGGGTTCTGAAATATTGCGGGTTGCAGGGGAAACAACTTCGCAACCTGCGAGGATATGAGACAGGTGGTAGTTATTTTGAGCGCCTAGCAATGCGTCATTTACTTGCCATTGTCCCTTGCCCTGCTCTGTGTATTCTCGGCAGGTTCGTTCGCGAGACGGGTCACCTGACCATGTGCACCGTGTGTGAGGCGCTGCGGGGTCCCCGCCTGGCCGCCATCTCGGGCCAGGTGGCGGAGCGACTGGCGGACGGTATGGGAGACAACTGGAGCCAGGTGACCTATGGAGCTGCGGGGGGGGGCCGTGACGATCCTCTCTTGGGTTCCGTGTCGTATTTCCGTTGCACAGGCCTAAGCATCTTATCAACTGCACCTGAAGCGTGGAAGGATGGCACAAACCCAAATGGCTCACCCCTTCCCTCAGGTCCGCTACGCGGCCTGCGTATCTACCCGGTCCCTGCTGGAATGGTTGGAAGAGGGGGAGGAGCGCGAGGCGCTGATGCCGGTGTTGCTGCCACCCATGTGCCTCAACAGGTTGGGATGGTGTAGTCGGTCAAGGGGCTGACGTGTCCTTTCCATGCTTCCAATTGAAGCACGGGTGGCTGCATGGCAGTCTGGAAGGGATGGTGTAGTCAGGTGCTCAGATACAGGCTAAGACGCTGCCTCCATTCCGTCAGCCACACCACCAGAGTTGGGGTGCCTCTGCCCCAGTGCTGAGCTGCTGTAATACCACCATCTGCTTGCCGATTATTGTTACGCCTGGCTGGCCGCCTGCTGCGCTAAGGCTTTCGTTGTCTTGCGCTTAATTCCTGCGGCTTGCCGACTTCTTTCTTGGGCATCTCGCAGGTACTACGTGGCTGAGGGTGTGCGGCTGTACGCTCAGGAGACATGGCGGCGGGTGATGGGGGACGGCGGGCGCGCTGCGGTGGCCCGGCACATTAACTTTGTGGTGGCGCACTACATATTGCAGTCAAGAGCCAATAACCACGCCGTAAGGGAGGCAGCGTGCGCCTGCATTGCGGAGCTCATGGAAAAGGTGGGGGGCGTGGTCGGGTTGAAGACGGGCGCACAGCTTTCTACCCTTTTGTTCATGATGAATCGCAAGTCGTTCCGTCGCTAAGATTTAATCCTGGAATTCCTAGGAATTCTGTTGGGCTTATGAAACTGTCTGATACCCATTTAAGTTTTCATAGTGTTTTGATTGCCCACAGTTTCGCGCATGGAGGTAACACAAGCCTTTGGGCCGGAGTGCAAGGGACGCGACGCTGATGCCCGGTTGGATTAATTATAGGCCATAACCTGCCTGTTTGCCTGTGTGCCTCCAATAGTGAAAAGAGACCACGGTGGGAAACTCTGTATCCTCCCACTGAACAGTTTTTTGGCGCGTATTTGGCGGACGTCTGCTTTCCTGGCCGTTACATCATCTGTGGGCCTTTGCTGCACAGTTTTTTTATGCATTTATTACGCATCGCACCCCTTCATCGGACATTCCAATACTATTATGTGTCACTACTATGTATCATTACTATGTATCACTGTCATCTTTCAGTTACATTTAGCAGTTTAAGGAAAAGTCAATCCTGCTGGTCTCTTTTCTCCGCCGGTATGCCCACCAGGAAACGCAAAATTGGTTTCCCGACTAGCTGCAATTACACTTGATTCCGTGCCCGCACGCCCTTAATTCACCCTTTGCCTCAAGGTGGACCGAGCCGCAGTATCCCCTCACGTACCCGCTCTATTCCGCTCGCTGGTGGTATGCTTCAAGGACATGAGCTGGCCGGTACGAGACGCAGCATGCATCGCAGCGGGAAGGTGGGTGCCGCGAGTCCAGGCAGAGGGCGCCGGGTGGCTCGGACATGGCGAGACGAAGATCGCGTCCTGCAGTTCGCCTTCTCCATGCAAGCGCGTTAACCTCTGCAAGTGCTCGCGTTTGCCCTGCCGGTACCCGTCTACCCACCGACTCAGCCGTCCGCAAACCCACGCCACCTCCGGTCAAGCTGCGGTCCGCCAAGTCCCACTCCGCTCCATCCGTATTTCACACCCATGTTTGGTCATGCTTCTGCAGAGCCGTTCTGGCGTACCCTGAGGAGATGCGGCATCTGGCGGGAGAGATGCTGGGGTTGTGGCTGGCGCACCTGGCGGACAACATTCCCACCGTGAGGGCCAACAGCGCAGTAGCTCTGGCTAAGGTATGGATCCATGTATAGCGGGAGCAGTGGTCACTTGCCAACCGTTTAGTATCCAGCAATGGATGCGAGATTTAAGAGAGAAACAGCCCGGCCAACCGATTGACCCTGACGGATACCCACGGGGTCCGGTTGCGCTTTGAAATGAGCGAGCAGGCCGTTGCACTCGACGTTGCTCGCAGCGGCGATGACCCCTATATGCTTATTAAGATGCCTTTGTTGGCTGGAGTGGCAGGCGCTGATGCCAACTAGATCAATTTAGTTCCGAAGGCGGCGAGGGTGCGGCCGCCAATTTTCAGCTTTCTTGGAAAAAACGTTTGAAGCTGTATCAAAAAACCAAGTTATCTGCATATCCAGTTTAAATATTTACGCGGTGGACGACCAGCAGCAGTATGGACGCCACGCTTATATTTCCTAAAACGCAAAACCTCTCGGTAATCCTGTCCATCTTAGATCGCTGAACTTGATGGATGCCGCCTGTTCGTACGATTTTGGAACTTGCCAGCATGTCGTGGGGAGATTTATGTTATACATGTTACTGGCCAGTACAGTCAGTGCAACATGTAATGCTTGATGCTCAATGCCTAATGCCATCATGTACGCTTACCCTTGCAACTTGCCTGTTTGCCAGTCACTTGCGGCACTTCGGCACATCATCGGTCTTTTCCTTACCCGTGCTGGTTGTTTATTAGGAGGGGGTTGAAGCGGTACCTGACCTGCGCTGAATGAGCATGAAAGTACAGTCCGCTACTATCCTCACCCAGGGCAAAGTTTTCTTGCGTTTAAGGTGCGACAGTTCTATGGCTCCGGTTGTGTACGGCGAAACCTTCAGCGGGTGGGTTTCGGAAATCTGACAACCTTCAGGAGACGGCCAGCCTGACAAGCAACACGTCTGAGGTATCACTGCACAGCTGATTGAGTCTGGATCTGGGAGTGCTTGCGTCTGCGAACTACAATCCTTTCCATTTTCATTTAACTGTCATGCCTTTCACACCGTTTTAAACCAAAATTATGCGAGTCTGCTGTTTCCCCCCCTCTGCAGGCCTTCTTCCCGTAATCTTGCGTTTTCCCATCTAAATCTTTCCCTTCTGCTGCCCAGGCGCTTCGTGCCTACGGTGACGATGTCCTCCCTGCATTGCTTGCCGCCCTGGACGACATGCTGCTCCGGGCACGGGAGCAACCTGCGGAGAGCACCAAGTACTCGGGGTTGAGCAACGAGACAAGGTTTGGGGTGGCAGCGCGCAAGGCTCGTGACAATGACCGGCAGGCGAGTGACTGGGATGGGGGTTGGCAACTGGGGCGGCAACGGCCGCCGGCGCGAGGCTTGAGTTTCATGGAAGCTTGTGGGCGGGCAATTGCAGGGGGTGTGGGACGATTTTATTTGTTCATGACTATGTGGGTTAGGGAAGTGGTGTATGGAGCCTGGGCCCTACGGCAGACCCTCGGGGAGGTAAGTTAGGGGAAAGGAAAGCTCAGGGCAAGTGAGGGACGAAGGGTTGCTGGTGTGTGGTCGACCATCACGCCCTTGACAGTTAAAGGTCCAACCACCCCACCATTAAATCGTTCGTCTTGGAGGGATTCGGTCCAGCTAAGCTGACCACACCTGGTTAGGGCCAATTTGATCGCGTTCTGAGCACCGACCGACCTGCACACACGATCCTTTTCCCAACACCCTATCCCAGAATCCGTACAGGCTAGTAAAACGAAAGCGATGGTCCTTTACTATTTATGAATACATGCGGTCTTCCGTCCAGGTTCACTCGGACCAGGAGATGTTCAGTTGTGGCTCCCTTATGGCCCGCTTCTCCACCTCGTACCTTATCCGTAGCGACGGATGCATGGACCATGGATTCAGCAGGTGAGGACAGGGCGGAAGTTCCAGTGCTGGGATTCAATAGATTGCCCCGAGGGCACCACGGCTTGCTGAGGGCATCGCGTCCATGACTAAAGAAGCAGCGAGGCTGGGATTGGACTTCGAGTGATGGATACTAAATGGGCGACAAGGAAGGTCCGGAACCGGGGAAGGAACAACCTCTGAAGCATCAAACCGAGGCTGTCTACGCAAGCCATATTGTATCTCTGGACACGGCGCTTGGCGCCAAGGAGCTACAATAACAGACTCTACCCGCTCGCAGGACAGGCGAAGGCAGGATCTGGGCCCTCGGGTGGGAAGATGGTTGCCATGTTTTGCGGTTATGGGCATGGCACCTCGGATTGACCTGCTCGGACTCCGGTTATGTTGCGGAGGTCCTCCGTACTGCTTGTTTTTACGTCTGTTAAGCTGCCCTTGTGCCTAGGCGTCTCCCTTTGGTTTCTATTTTCCTGCATGGCAATGCGCTCGCGCAAGTCTGCTTGCCGCCTTGGTCCGCACTGTGGTGTGACCCGTGTACTGAAATGGGCCGGTGATGGTTCTTCCCGTCTTGGACGGTCCTCGTACATCTATACCCGCGAGTTCACAGGGACAAGGAGCCCTGGGAGGTGTCAGATGGCGCAGTGCACCTTCTTCGCGAGTTGGCGGCAGTGCGGCCGCAAGCAGTGGCAGATGCGCATCTGGAAGGTGGGTAGGGCCCTATCCCATATGCATGTGTTTCGCGTATAAGCGCAAAGTCACGGTCATGGACGTCTGCTGGTGCATTCAAGGTCAGGCACTACTGGTAAAGCACATACTAATGCCCCCGAAGGTTCCGGGATCGAGACGTGCCAGGGTCGAAACTCCTCCTGATGGTGGAAGGTAATAGTGCCCCGAGTCGATGGACGGTGGTGACCTGGGATAAAGTTGACCTGCGAGCTGACTAGGAACGGAGTTGAGTCGCCGTTGATCCGTCAGATTCCGTTGGATGCCGGTGGTGGGTGCTGAACCTGAGCGATCCACTGAGAAGATGGCTAGGGTGACTGGATGAGGGTGCCCTCGAAATACCCTCCTATCCACACATCATACAGAGCTGGGAAGTTCCCATCTGTCCGTGCTGCAGATAATGTATGCTGTGTAATGAGGCAGGTGTGCTGTCCTCCTTGACCTCCCTCTGTCCAAACTCCCTTTGTCGGCTGGCATGGCAATGCGCGGCTGTTTTCTATCATGGCTCCCCAGTTTTCCTTGTTGCTTCCTTGCAATGGACGCAGATAGTCAGTGCTATCTGTTTCCCTTCAGTAGCGTACATTTGCTGCTGCACGCAATTATTGGTTCTTCCGGGAACCTTGGGATTGGTAATTGGATTGCGTAATTTACAAGGACTGCGAGTTAGTTGTAGAGTTGCTAAAAATCGTCCGGGTCTTCCCATGCTGATTAGCAATATTCCAATGATTCGCGTTGCACCGTAAGGACAGTACTAAACGAGAAGACGACAAAGCTAGCCTGCTTAATAGTAATTGTTCTCAGGACGTTTGCTGGGATGCTGACTCTTCATCATTCCTCTTATTCGTTGCGCCATGACCGTCCGCTTCATTTTTATAGGCCCGAAGACGCTTAACGGCCGCTATCATAGCCTTGGGTACTATCGAGGAGGGTAGTTTGTCAGGAAAATATCGATCTTGATAAGTATCGAAAATCGCTTACTAAAATTGTTTTTGAAGCTACTATGGGAAGAGGTATAGCCTTCCAACAACGACTGTCCGGCACGGAGTGGATGAGTGCATGTGGAGGCCTGACTTTTTTCTTCGACATTTGCAATTTCTTTCGAAGGCGCCAAATCACTAAATTGGTACTACAACCTGTACTACAACTCTAGAGCTAAAGTATTGCAGACTTCAAGAAGGTAAAATGTGATCGTAATTGTCATTGTCGCCATGAATGAACCTAGATGGGGCAACATTTCCGGAATGGACCGCCTTGGCCCTTCCAACCTGTATATAACATATTAGGGCCTAGGATGCTTCGGACTCCGCCGCTGATGCGCATGCATGAAAATCCTTTTTCACAAGGGTGAGGGTGGCGCCATCTAGAAGGATGCTAGACTCGTGTTACTAATTTAACAATCCCTTGAAAGAGGAGTCGAAACGGTGAACCTCCGAAATCACGCCCAGAAGTTTACAGGCTTGTCGTACTGTGCGTGTTCGGCAGGGCCAGGGGTTGGCGCGGACCCGTCTCTTTTACATTCTTTTACCATGGGGTACACGATATTTTGATGTTTATCCTCAGCAACCGGGTAGGGATAACGAAAAGAACGTGGCGGCCGGCCGGGTGGAAGTATGGAAGGCAGCGGATGAAGTCGTGGGCGCAGCAGATCGGCTCCGGAAAATGAAGCGCACAGAGAGGGCAGAGGGGCTCAGTTGCGGGTGTCCCGTGTTGGCAGGTGGGCAGCGGTAAGGCAGTAACTTCGAGGCGTTTAGTGAGCAGTGTGGGGACTAAGGAACCACGGAGGGGCAATCTTTGGTTCTGGGTATGTTCGCATGGTTTTTCCATGGGTTTGAAAGTTAAATGGAAATTATTTTCAATCACAATTTGTCCGTTCGTTCTCTGAAGCGTTTTATCGAATTTTATAGGATTGTACGGCATGCAATACGTACGGTAGACCGGATGGTTTCTTTGTCCTTAAGAGGAATGTGGCCTCATAATCACAAACAAAACAATTTCATTGTCCTTTTGGGTCCTCCCACAACCTTCCAACGATTCCTAAAACAGTTAGCCGTAAGCATACTTTCGGAATTGTATAATATAATATTATATTATATGATGTTATGTTATGTTATGTTATGTTATGTTTATTATGTTATGTTATGTTTATTATGTTATGTTATATTATATTATATTATATTATATTATATTATATTATATTATATTATATTATATTATATTATATTATATTATATTATATTATATTATATTATATTATATACGCTAATATGTAATGAGCATAATGGAGTGATATAACATTATCAATATGCCTATGGTGACCTTCATTTATTGCCTCATTACGTCCCTTTTGTACCATATAACCATCGTCAACCATACGGCACCTTGTTCCTTGCACGCTCATTACCTTTTTCATCAATAAATAAAACTTCACATGCTGCTCGGATTTACTGGGTAATTTCGGCCTTTTCCAAGTTCCTTAAATTCATATTATATTATACTATATTATAATATACTTATTAATAGTTTTATTTGATTCTCAAATTACTTTATAACCTTTAAGGATGTAAACCCCCACAAATGATGGTCCTGGTCTCATCGCGCTGATCCTCCTCTCGTCCTTACCCGGTTATCCCACCACCCTCCCTCAGCCCTGGTGGAGCTGGGCAGCCTGGGCACCTTCCAGCACGCCTTTAACCTGCATGAGACAGTGTGGCGCTCGCTCAAGGCAATCGGGGAAGCAATCGGTAAGAATGCACAGAACTTGGTCCACGCCAATACAGACCTGGAAACCTGGATGAAAGTGGTTAGAAAGCCGTCCATTAAAGTCTCCTTCCAAGGGCAGGAGCTATATGCATGTGCAACGCGGTTGCCCAAGGGATGGGCAACGCTGCCAGGGGTTGTTGTGAAGGTGCAACCCCATACGCATCGGATACGCATCGGATTTGCCACCGCGCGATCTTAAGCCGGGCTTCATCTAACCTTCCCTGATCCCATCTTTCGCCACTTGGGTCCGACCCTGTTTGCTTCATACGGTTTTTTCTTAGGGTTGTTGCAAGCTTATGTACTTTGCTTATTCCTGAAGTCTCGATAGTTCTTTTCCTTACCATATCCTGTGTGTTTCGAAGCTGTTTTCCATACCCCGCTGTGTCCGCGTCCTTATGCAGGGAAGCCCCGTTTCAAGCGCCATCTGCGGCAGCTGTTGGTGCCGCTGCTGGCAGACTGCCGGTGCGGGCACCAGCTGGCGGAAGCTGCGGCGCAGCAATGCTTGGAGGCGCTGAGAGCTTGGGTGGGACCCGGCATCTTTGCGGGTAAGCGCGGAATCTAGGACGGAAAAGCGGTCCTGTAGCTCGTGCGTCTAGGTTTAGAAAGTACTGTTCAAATGTTTGCCGCGGGGTCGGGTTAAGACATACAAAAGGAATTGCAACAGGCACAAGATCGGGCCTGAGCCCAACTCGGGCACCGTCTATATCTGGATACGAGGCCTGGATAGAGCCTGCCGAGGAGGTGAGTCCGGCTGTCCAGGTGACAGGGCAGACCACCACACCGTGGCGCCTAATCTTCGCGAGCGCAATCCTGATAAACAGCATATGGTGCAGTTATCCTTTCGGGTCCCAGTGCACCGGGATAGAACCCTGGTACATAGGCCGCTAATCGGGTCAGGATTATGCTGCATCGCAAGAATTATGCCCACCCGGTGATCATCAACGTCATTTACCAACGAGTCCTTGAACCTGTGCGTTGTCCGTCATCCCTGGGCTTGTGCAGGGTACGTCCCGGAGAGGGCAGATGTGCTACTGCTCGGTTCGGGGCAGGAGGGGCTGGCTGGGGAACTGCAAAGGGGTCACCCTGCCCTGGGTGGCCTCCTGGGCGCTTTCGCAACTGCCAGGACATCAACCCAGACTGCCGCATGCATGCGAGGGGTTTTGTAATATGCATCGGGAAGCAACCGTCTATTTGGCCATGTTTCCTACGTCCCCCATGGCTGTGGCGAAAGCACAAACCGTGCAGAAGCAATTATGCAGTATTAGCTCCCGCTTATTCCCATCATCACTGCCTGTCATAAGGTGGTCTTGCGCAGTCGCGGGGCTGTTACCTCACGTGCTCACCTTCACCATAGACTCTGTGGCGACCTCGGGCAAGAAATATGGGCACGGGTCGCCGTCACTTCAAGGTCTAAAAGGTTTACGGTGCGTTGGGGATTCCAAAAAGCGCAAGTCAACATTTTGTGATAAGTAGTTTGAAGGTGGTAGTTTTAGTTCATAGGCCCCTTGGAGCCCGTCAGATCTGAGGCAAGGAACTGGAAGTGTTCCAAAAACTAATGAAGATTTTACTGGGGTAAAACATTGCAAAATGGAAGGCACCAGATTTTAAGCAGAACGATAGCACAATCACGTGCATCCAATCAACTCGAACAGTCCCTTGACCCCGATTCGCTGCGACAAAAAAGAGACACACAGACAGGGACACGCAAGATACACAGACACACAGGTATACAGAGACAGAAACATACAGGCACACGAACAGACCAGTCTACAGACACACAGATACACACACAGGTACACAAACAGATATACACACAAAGGTACACACGCAATCAAATACACAGCGACATTCAGATTAACTCCAGACAGACGTACGCAGTCACATATAGGCACACACAGATTTCACACATACATACGATACACACATACACACTGATATATGTGTGTTACACGTTGAGTTGCATTACTCTCCAAATGTGTAGCAGGCCTACATGAGCCGGGGGCCCACGGGCCAGCCGAAGGCTGACGAAATAGATAGATCTCGTAAACACGCAAGAGGAGAACTATTATCCTATCGATTGATAGGAAATTTTATGTCGAACTAACGGAACTATACAGACTGTTATGCCATAATTGCAGTGCGCTACTGCGGATGGCGCCGCATGCGCAACCATCCAAATAAATAAGGCAGAAACCCTGCCAGTATATATCTGGGCAGTCCAAAAATACATGCTTTTTGGGCGGGGCATCAGCGCGAAGCGCCCAGGGGGGCCCCGACCTGTAGGATTGCCCATGTCCGTGTGTGTGTGTGTGTGTGTGTGTCTGTAACGGACCAAACATAATATCTCGCCCGGCTGAAACGCGTTATAGGTACTATACAGCATTCTCTATTGCAAGGTATTTCGCATGTAGCCAACAAAAATCGTATGAGCACAAACAAGTTTGGCTGCCTCAATTGACCGAGGCCAAAGTCACATCAACGCCTCTCGAGCTAAATTTCATCCCGAAAGGTACCGCGTATCTCATATTTGAATTCTTAGATGACGGCGTATGATAACTCGAACTCCCAGGCCTTGAGTGTGTAACGGACCAAGCATATTATTTCACCCGGCTGAAACCCGTTATCGGTACTATACAGCATTCTCTATTGCAAGGTATCTCGCATGTAGCTAACAAAGACCGTATGAGCACAAACAAGTTTAGCTGCCTCCATTCACCGACCTCAAAAGTCACATCAACGCCTCTCGCGCTAAATTTCATCCCGAAAGCTGCCGCGTATCTCATAATGGAATTCTGAGATGACGGCGTATGATAACTCGAACACCCAGCTTGCCTTACCATTTGCCGGCATGGGCAATCCGACTTGCCACCAGCAGGCCAACATAATTTGCTTTCACTTCTCTATGAAATACACAAGCTGCTTGTTTGTACATTTACTTTGGCCAATGCACGGGGCCTCCGAAGACTTGCGGTGTGCCGCGATGAAGCTCGCGGCTGTGGGGCGGATTGCTGAGGCCGCTGGCGCTTCGGGGATAAACATCACAGACAGCACCGTATTTCACTCAGCTTGCGTTACCTATTTGCCCGCACGGGCATTCCGACTTCCGGTCTGCCGCACTGTCCATGCGGCATGCACCCGGGATTGATGCGATTCGCGTGGAGCGCGCAGCGGGTGCTGACGATTCCGCCGGTGCAAGCTTAGCTCCCACACCATCAGTACTGCTGGCAACAAAGCACATCTCCCACCGCAGTGACACTACCCATCAATTGTCACACGTGCCGTGCTAGCTACCGGCCTGTACGGATGCAGGGGGGCCCGCCCTTTTTCCGGCTTCGAGGAAGCCGACACCCGACTTGTCATCCTCGATTCGGCTATTAGTACCACAACAGCGGCAAAACCGCTGCCCCCTGGGGACATAGTACCTGCCCCTTCGTGCTCTGTTTGCCTCCAAAGCCCAGCAACATAAACGAAACTGCATTAGCTTACGATGTGCTAAACGAGGAATGAAAACCTTAGCATGTGTTGGCCACATGACGGCTGCGGCTCCCGAAAAGGGCAGCCCCATCCAGTGCTTATACTTCGCCATTTGCACTCCCTGTTGCTTCCCATCTGATGGGTACTCCTCTGGCAAGACAGTCAGACGCGTATGGTCCCAGCCGCTCATCAAACGCTCTCACATGTAGCCGTAAGTGGGCTCGGTTGCGTGGCGGAAACCCGCTTCATTCTCCCATCCTGCGTGCTCAAGCAATCGGCTTGTACGGATGTAGCAGAGCACCGTCCTTTTCCAATTTCAAGGAGCCGACATCCTGCCTGTCTGGTGCGATTTGGCAGATTTCACAGAACTGTTTGGTGTGGCGCACCGAACGAGCGTGCCTTCCAGGAGATGTGGTGTGGGGTATAATACAAGACCAGCGAGCCATCATTAGTGGCAAAGAGCATAGCTTGAATTTTGGTTCTGCCGATAGGTAATTATGCGTGATTTCCCCCGGCAAGTCAACTCGAGGAGTACAACCCTGGATTGCGGTTGTGAACTCAACGATGCTGAGTCAAATCCAACAGCTACCGAATGCGGGTAGCACAAGCCCGAGCGCGGTACACACTCCAATACACTGCTGCACTGCACTCCACTCCAACGAACCAACATACGTACGCAAAACGAACTCGAGGAGCACCTTCACATGAAGCCTCCAAATCGCTCCAGAACCGTCAGCTCGTAACGATGATGTTAGCAAGACTTCTTTTCCTCACTCAGGTACGCACGTCACGTGAAACCTCTATGCTTTTGCGTTGTGTAGCAAGGCAGGTGGCCAAGCTATGCAGGCACCAAACCCGGCTAAAGTTGTAAATGATGTTATGGTCTCATGAGACTAATGATCTCCACAGGTCAGATAACTGCCCTTAATCTTCCAACCTCTTGGTTAAAACATATATCGTTAGCGCTTGCATTGCATGCAGCTGGAACTGTCCACGTCCTAGCAACGGACTCAAGGCCGTTTCCACATGCTCCAACGTCGAACTTTCTGTGCTCCCTCCTACGTGTAAACTGTTTCATTTCGCTTCAGTGGCACTTGTGTCAATCCTTTCCGGTAGCAGCAACATAGTGCGCATACTAGAACTGAAATACAGGCAGAACATGGAGGCATCTCCTAAATTTCTAGAAGCCACATGACTTCATGCCGTTATATTTTGCAGCAGTGACAAGTATCCCTCGGCTACTGACCGCCAATCCTTCCCGGACGACAGCTCTCTGGCTGCCTGTTGGTACTTCACTCTGAGGCCGTCATCACGAAGCAGCTGCAATATTCCTTCTTGGAGCGAGGTGGGGCTTTCAAAATCTACTAGCACACCGCGGCCCGGCAACACCGACGCGGCATGATCGAAGGGGGTAGACACTATTGCTTTCCCAGCGGCAAGGGCCATAGTAAGGGTGCCTGAGTTGGTCATGACGCGATCCTTATACGGCAGGACGTAGATATCAGCCGCCTGGACGTATTGCAACAACAACCGATCATCAAGGAATTTGGTCACAAACCTGACGTGGTCCATGATACGATGATCTGAAACAGCCTTGACCAGTTGCTCATAGTGATTTGCGCAAGGCCACCCACAGTCCGGGTGGGGCTCGCCAACGACTAAATACACCACGGCGGGGAACTCCTTTACGATTGTGGGCAAGGCGTCCAGCACCAGATCAACACCCTTCATGGGGTTTATTAGGCCGTGCGTCAACAGTACAGTCCTTCCAGTCAGGTTTAGCATTGCCTTCGCTGCAAGCGGGTCCACAGCAGATATCACTGGCGCTCCATGTGGCAAAACCACGACATTGTTGCCCGGGATGCCGTGGAACGCCCCCAGCTTGTTCCGGGAGGATTCAGACATAACGACAACTGCTGTGGATGCTGCCGATAATTGCTGCAAAATGTATTGGTCCGAGTTTCCCCGGTCGTCGCTGAGCGTGTGAATGACAGTAACAGCTGGCACCTCCAGCATTTTTAAAAAGCAAACAACCAAACATCCAGCGGTACCACCCCAGATCCCAAACTCGTGCTGTAATATGGCTGCATGAAAGCCACCATCATTTATGAGGCGAGCTGTCGCGATATAGTCTCCATAGTTTTCTTGCCGTATAACATGCATGGTAGGATCCATACCAAATGGCGGCGTCTCTGTGTCGCCATACCAGCGGAAATACTTCAACTGAGCTGCCTTGGGGCAGTAGTGGCCGCAAGTAGCGCAGTAGAGCTGTGTTGAAGGTAGCAATCCCACACCGCCGTGGAGGTGCTGTCGACACCACAGCAATCTTCAGGGCTGGTGTTGTCCGGTGCACACGGATACTAGCCTTAGGGAGCATGGCACATATGTGCACATCGGTTGGTACTGGGTCTTTCGCCAAATCCAGGGATCTCGCTGTGCGAGGGCGCGAAAGCTGGTATTCACTGATCTCCTTTAGCCTTTTCAGGACCGTGTTGCTCACCACCTCATTGTCATACTCCTTGACCATCCTTACCCTTGCCTCGCGCCCCATCGCATGCAGGCTTTTGCTGCTATACGCCGCACGGAATGCAGCGATCAGCCCCTCAGCACACGGCTCACCCCAACGAGCTCCGCGAAACCACGTGTCTGATCCATGCACCTCAGTAGACGTGTAGTTAATCTGAAACGCAAAGCCCGGCTGGATGTGCTCAGCTAAACCAGCAGAGGTGGTTGCTATCAGTGGCTTGCCCAGGCTCATGGCTTCCAAGTACAGACTGTTCCACCCGTCACCTCGGGACGGTACCACCACCACATCAACCGAAGAGATGATTCTGAGCAGCTCAATTTGTGTCAGTTGCCGGCCGAACACGTACACGTGCGGTGCCCCCCGTGTAGGCTCAGGATACATACTGATGGAACGGAGGTACGTATCATTGCTTGAACGGAGGAAGGTGTTCATGGTCTCGTAGATAGAAGCCCTTTTGTAAGACAGCTCGGGGGACATCGCCGTGTTGATGTATAGGGAAACATCTGTGCAGTTACGAAAGGCCTGCAGACGGGATGGAGCCGCGTTCAGTAAGAAGAGCAGCATACGTATAGATCAGTGCCAGCATACACAACAGTTCTCTTACCGTCAGGTACGCCGAAAGCACTGCCTGCCAGCCCGCGTGGTCATCCAACCGGAATGAAGACAGGAAAGACAGCCGGGCTTGTCTTGGTAAAGTGAGCGGCTCCCAAATGTCGGGGTCATAAAAGTGAGAGTCCACGCTTTCAGGAATGACGAAAATCTTGCCTGTCCTGACACCTTGCTGTCTTAGGGATGCGGCATGCCAGTTGGACGGTACCCAGACCTCATCCAACTCGTTCTTCACCTGGTCGATCCACTGGCGATGGATAGGGTCGACATCCCACCCGTAGCGACCAATCAAGTACGTGGATGAATTGCTTGGGGGCCATGGCCATGCAGCCAGCTGCCGGTAATCCTTCTGGTGAACAATGATGTCTGAAGGCAGGTATGCTGATAAGCGCCGAAGCCGGTACAGCCGTTGCGTGAAGGCCAGTGGCATCCCCTCGAGGACATCTGGATGCTCACAGAATGGCCAACCACGCTGTATCTGCGCCCTAAGCTGCAGTTGGCCCTCCAGATGCTGCATGAGGTTGTAAGCTTTAATGCCTTCATATCCACCACATTGCATGACCCAGCTCACAGTAGCGTTGAACGCCAGTCCAAGTGCATGCTGTGACGCGAGATCGGCTCCCCATACCTCATCAAACGCCTGCAATGCGGCTGTGTCCTCGTGCTGTATGCGTGCTGCAGTATCAACAAAGGCACCCTGCGGAGACAGGAGCACAGCACGGCCCCCGCGCTGAAGCTTGAGTGCCATATCCGAGCAAGCCAGGTTGCTGCCCAAACCTGAAGGAAAACCATCCTCCAGAATTTTGCGAAAATCAGAGCTGTGCATAAGCCATGCCGAACAGCCTGCACCACGTATCATCATGGTCTTCATGGTTGTCTGGTAATTCCATGGATAACCTGCGTACATCTCGACAGGCCGCAACACCTGACGTCCCAAGTAGTCATCGTACGCCTGCTCAAAACGAGACCCAGCACTTTTAATTGTGCCGTTTGCGAATAAGATTTTGGCAAAAACCGCAGACGTGTCTGTATGCAGCTGCAGGTCATGCGCAAGCCCTGACAGCCAGCCATACAAAGGCACCAGGGACTCGGCGACCACAGCAATGTAGGGCGTTGTGTAGGCCTTTGCTAGTGCCAGCTTCAAGCCATACTGGACACATGCATCCCAACGTAGTGAAACGTCGGGCCGCAGGAGTACAGCATCCTGAAGGTTGTCCAGACTGGAATTACCCAAGTCCTGGCGTGAGCATGCAACCATGAACACCTTGGCATGGCATGAGTGGCCAGCGAAGTGCTGCAGATGGGTCGCAAGCGTCTGCAGCTGGGGGAAGGGCGTGCGCTCCAGTACAGGTACTATTACTGCCGCATCACATTCGGATACATGGCTTGGCACTGCAAGGCTAGCCCAGGTCGGTCTAATGGGAGGCGGCCCAGTCCAGAGTGGCGACGCGGTCACGTTCAGAACATGGTCCCTTGTAGGGAGCTCGGTTGACATGCTCATCACCACTTCGTTTGGCTGGAGCTGACGACGCCACGCGCGAATATTCCCGATCTGTCCCGGAAAGCGGCTCTCAAACCAGCGTGGAGATCGCCCTAAGTCCAGCTGTGTAACATCCTCGGGAATGCTGACCTCCATTGTTTGGCGAAGGAACCCATTCACATAAAAGCGCAGAATCCCAGATTCGTGGGTCATTGCAAAGTAATTCCTGCGGAAGCATGGTCAGAAACAATAGGGTGAACGCATCTGGTCACAGCCAGCGGGGAGCCGCAGTGACCCTACAGGAAGTAAAGCAGACACACATGATCCCTCTCGATGCACGTGTTGACATGCATCATCAATAGAAAGCTGAAACGCAGTCAGCATCTGTCAACTATTAAGCCGTTCAGTCGTCATACCAGCTGTTTACGGTGACTGCCCCGGAATATTGGTGGAAGGGAGGCGCTTCACGCAAGACTGCCGATGCCCAGGCGCCATCTGGAGTATCAATGGAATACGCCGCAAGACAGAAGAATGTGGACAGGTCATGCGAGTTCCGTGTGACGACAGTGCAACCTGCGAGCAGCGAGCACCAAAATAAATGCAACAAGCCTTTCATGTCGCGAGAACCAGATGTCCACATGAAAATGGCTGTAAAGTGTGGTGTCCTTTGACACATCGATGAATGCTTCGGAGAATGTCCTCGCACTGAACAGGCAGGTGGCTGGCAGAGGTTAAGGCCTGACTTCTGCCCCCGGTCGACCCGGGTTCAAATCCGCCTGCCGACCTCTCGGGTGTTTGAGAGGTGGTGAAATGGGAGGTGGCCCCCATCTTGTGGACGGTGTAGGACGTGATAAAATCAACTCGCGAGCTGACCAGGAACTAAGTTGAGGCGCCGTTGATCCGCTAGATTTGGTTGGATGCTGGTGGTGAGTTGCCAAACTCAAAGAGTACACTCTGAAGTCGGAAGGGGTGAATGGCTTAGGGTGCCCCTCTAGCAGGGGAGAGCAGGGAATTGCCTCGGGAAGGAGGCCACTTGTGAAGCTTAACCACCCTGTAACAACATCAACACGTACCCTTTCGCAGACTTACCGGGCAACTGCGCACACTCTCGCAAAGCATCATCGAAAGATTGGGTCTCGTAGGAACGTATGGTAAGATCCGCGCAGTTCCCACGCAGGCCGGGCTTATGTTCAAATTGTCTTCGCACGTCGGGCCACGCCGATTCCACGCCAACGTACGGCACCGCGGGCGCCGCGAACTTGAGGCTCACCGGGCCAATGGAAAATGCGGTAACGTCAAACACTTCATCCAGGGCTGTGTCCAGGCGCACCCAACCTGCCACGCTGCCCACACGCACCGAAACAATTTTGTATTACAAGTGATCGGCCAACGACTCAAGTAGACGGTGGATACCAACAGGAAAACAGATGTCAGCATCCGAGGCAACAAGTTCATTATTAGGTAAATTCGAGTATGGAAATAATAAAATCATGTAAAAGGGTGTTCCTGCATTCGGAATTCGGTAACAGGCCGTTGACTTTTAGGAAGGCATCCACCCCAGCGGCATCCAAGGCATCATTTTGGAATTTCAGCCCTTCTCCCTTCCAAATTTAACTAGACCGGTGGTTCAAGATTCTGTCGTGCGCAGTCAAGACTCCAAGCGACCTTTTGTCCGTTATGCTTGACGGCTAATTGGTGCTATGGTTTCGCTACATCCACCTTGCCATCCCTGGCATTAGTCCAAGGCTGTATCCCTTTGCAGTACTGTGCGGAGGCACCCCTCTATTCAATTTTCGGTTTAGCAGTTCGGCTTCGGCCCATGCAACGTGCGGCGAGGCTTACGCAGTGAAGATCCTTTAGCGTACACTGCAACAGGGTCCGTTCATGTCCGTTCGAACACAGGACTTCTGAAAGGACTCGTGGGAAAAAACTTAGGGTGCGGCGGTTGGATGGCGGTTGGATAATCCTACTACCCCTAGATTGCTCATCTTTGAGGTAGCGGCTTCTGCTGATGCGATTACCTTGAGATCAAGGAGCTGATATCGAGGTTTTTTGATGATCTCCAAAATATGGTTTCGGTCATTACGTAGGTTTAACGCAATACGAAGGTTTAACGCAATATGGCATCTCCGCCATGCTAGGTTGCCAGCCGCCTGCTTCATGATAAATTGTCATCATTTTCATATGTGCTCTGATAGACTGCGAAGCCATTACGGACTCTGGATGCAGGGGTTGACGGCTCATCAATGCATGCCATGCCTTACTTTTGGCTTGCATGCACTGACGCGTTAATTGCCCTTTTGTACTGTGCATATCATTTATTATTCCGCCCAGCCCACTGGTCCAGCCACACTCCCACTCCCGCAAGTTCTACCCCTACATACCTCAAAGATTGAGACATCCCGCCGCCATTTAAAAAGCTGAGGCATACTGAACCAGGACCACACTGCACGGGGAACAACGGAAACACAGTACAAGGACTGTTCATATGCCATACACGGTAGGCTCGCATTTGCATCCGCCTACACAAAGCCGGGAATGTACTCCACATGAAGATACTTGAAGTTGGGGTTCAAGAAGATTTGGACTTTTGTCGTTGAGCATTGAGCGAGGAGAGGACGAACACGGATACGTAGATTTCGTTGACCATGTTTTGACCACAAAAGAAAGGCCATGATTGCTGCACATTGACAAAAAATATGGTACTGAAGATATGCACAACCGGCAGGCGCAAGACCGCTTCCACAAGACCGACCCAAGTATGTACCAAACACGTATCCGTACCTGATGGTTGCCTTGGTGGAACAGAGTAACGACGCTATCCACAATGCGGTATTCCTGGAGTATTTCTGATCTCGAGGACGAGTCCATTTCTGTATCATTTATTGCAGGCTCCGGCCCTTGGGCCGCCCCGGCGCATGGTTCTCTTTCTGCAATTGGACCGGCTTGGGAAATTCTACTTCCGTTTTCGGAAGTTTCGGTATGACCCAAAGTACCCGAAGCTTTTGCCGATGACCAATCCGCATTTCCGAAATGAAAGAGCTGAGAGCGGTCCTCTGGATGAGTGTTATGGTGATGCTTGTACGTCAGAAGCAAAGTCGAACAGGTTACTAAAAATGCAAACACCAAAAGAATCCAGTAATATATCCTGGAGTGATGGAACAAAGACTTTATCATGATGCTTCATCCAAAAGGAAGATCCTCACATTCCAACGCCGCGTTGCTGCCGGCTCGAGCTGGGTAGTATATAAGGCTGACGTCAAGAAATCTCTCCAGTATGTTAAGATTTGAACACGCACGATCACTTATCTCCAAAAAAATGCACAAAGTTGGTATTTATTGTCTTCACACTCCATTTGCGAATTTGAAACAAACACAATGGTAAACGTATTGATATACGAGAGCAGGAATATTGATGTACTGGTATATTTCAAGGTATGTTGGTGTACTGGCTTGCGTAAAGCTTTGTGCGACTGCTTAGTCTGCTTCCTTTCTCAGACAAGGTTAGTATGTGAAAGTAATAGGTTAGTATGTGAAGGAGATGTTTCACAGATCTGCGTTAATAACGCAATTTGTACAGCGGAGCCAGAACGGTTGCAAGTGCTTGCAGCACGCGCTGGGGCCTTATCCGTAAATAGGGGGTTCCTTGTGAAGCAGCTGCCCGCGTTTCCAAAGCACGTATGGTGTTGGATTGTAAGGTGCCCAAGTACGTTTGCGAGGAAGAGAATGTGGCCAGGCTGGAGAGGAAAGTGCAGTGGCATATTGGAATGTGAGATTAGCGTAAGCGAGTTACAGGGCGTTTTATTGCACGGGCGAATTTACGTGCAAATCTTTCACCGTAGCATCAGTCCTCAGTTCACTTCTTGGAACGAACATCAGCATAGGTCCAAGCCCTCTCGCTTGGAGGGATATGCAAACAAACATCCTGATAGGGGTAAACTCGCACGCTACCGAGCATTCAACCGAGCACATGCATGCTTAGTTGAATGGTGAGATGCGACCCCCCCTTCATTTCGTGCTCGGCAAGCCTGCCACCGCGTACCGGATATGTTGGCGATGTTACAGAACGCTGCACCTTGGTTTCTGTGCGCATTGCGTACGTTGCTCGACCCCGCCGACCAAAACTACACGTGCCCAACTGAAGACATTCCCGTTGGTTGTGCAGCAGCTCTTGAGGCTGTTGCTGGCTGAAATCCATCCTGAGCTGTTGCAACACGGCTAACGCGGGCACGTCCCTATGCACAGCAAATAGCTGTTCCAAGCCAACGGCGGCGTCCATGTCACCGACAAGGCTCTAAACGTCTTATCTGTTCTTATGTTTAATTAAGTTTATGTATGTTATACTTTGCGCAACTTTGTAATTTGACTTTACTCTGAACAAGGTGCTGCATACAACTGCCTCTTCGCCAGCGCTTCATCTTCCGCGGCAGTTTCACGAGCCCAGAGTTGCAAGCTACGACGTTGGCTTTCGGTGCTTTTAGTTACTGCAAAGCAGCCACGCAATAGTCCAGCCTGCATGCCGCGTGCGGCTATGGCCAACATGCCCACCTGCGCAACGCGCTGGCGCACCTGGTCCTTTTCCGCCAAGAAAATTTATATACACTTGTACAGGCGCATTTTGAGAATCGCACGCGCGCATCTGCGCGGTAAAATTCGCTCCTGACTTTTGGGACGACATGTACGGAGTCTTTATTCGGCACAGTACGACCGGACACATTTGTGCGAGGGGCTGCTTAAACAGTACGACCGGACACATTTGTGCGAGGGGCTGCTTAACAAGCCATACAAGCTTCGCTAGCTCTAAGCTTCAGCATTCATGTGACGCATTGCGGGAAACACACCAAGGTACAAGAAAAGCAATCGTTAAGCGGGCTCTGCAAGCCATGCCAGCAACTGGCTCAGGGCTTCATTAGGCATGTGGATCAAAATATCCTGAGTCGGCGAATGTATATATTTCCTGAACAGGCGATAAAAGCCCAGGATGGGCGTGTAAAAGTGGCGAGGCATAGCCTTACCAAGAAGAAGAGAAACATCTGACAAAACCGGTCTGGGCTGATAGTGCGGTGTTTCCTTTTCCCCGTGGCTTTTAGGCTTTTAGGTATTGCCCTTGGGCCTTCGGCTGGTATGGGTAGTTTTACAGGTATGGGGTCACGCACCCCCAACCATGGAAAACACACACACACACACACACACACACACACACACACACACACACACACACACACACACACACACACACACACACACACACACACACACACACACACACACACACACACACACACACACACACACACACACACACACACACACCCCTCTCTTAAGTTCAATTTTCTTCTAATGGCCAGCTTCATAGACGAAAACGCATTAGCAACCCATGCATACCGACAGGAATAAACATATTGGCATGCGCCAATCAGGTTGACCTGACTTCTTTCTCAAACAGCATCCCCATCCAGTGCTTGTATTCAGCCACCTTAATGCCTGGTTGCTTCCAGTCCGCGGGGTAGTCATGTGCTAATGAAGCCAGCCTCTCGTGGTTCCATGACGGTGTGCATCCGTAGATGTGGGGGGGCCAAGGGGCTCACCTGGTAGACGTCCCTAGGCAATTTCTCACCACAAGTCCCCCCACCTCCTCTCGCTGCTCCCTAAACCTGCGTTACGTTCTTCTTCTCGCCACTCATTACCCTTGTCCCTGTGTTTCAAGGCATCCACGTTTCGGCACTTACGATCTCGCGACAGGTTCCAAGTCCACACGAGGACCGTAGGGAAGCCCTCTTTGGTCGGATCCCTTTTCGCCCACGCACTAAAAGGAAAACGCCGCTACCGTACTACGGAGAATGCACCTCAACGCATGTACGACAGCTGCTGTACCGCTGTTTTGAGGACTTTGCCCGCGGACAGGAAGCCCGGCGACGTCATGTGGAGGAAGTTGTTCACCAGCAGCACGTCATGGCCGCTGCCGCGCCTAGCCACTCCAAATACCTCCACCGATCAGGCGAAATGCCTTCTTATTGATCCCCGCAGCTACATGCTCGTCTGATTGTCTTGCCAGGGGAGTACCCATCGGATGGGAAACAACCGGGAGTGCAGATGGCGAAGCATAAGCACTGGATGGGGCTGCCCTTTTCGGGAGCCGCAGCCGCTATGTGGCCAACACATGCTAAGGTTTTCATCCCGCGTTTAGCGCGTTGTAAGCTATTCACGCACCCCCAACCATGTAACACACACATATGCTCGTGACGAGCTTTATATACGTGCTATGTACCAACATCGCAAGCTGTCTGCTAATACCGTGCACGTCCTTGGCACGCATCCATTCGTGGTTGATGGCAGCTGCTGCCTAATGGTTATCGCCGTGTATCAATCCCCCACCAACCCCCGTCTCGTGCTCATGGCGTAACCACGCAAGCCATAGCCGGAAGCTTCAACCACGCCAGTGCTTTTTGGCAGCCCGTAATCCTTCCAATGTGTCTGAAACCCAAGCCGCTCCACCCCACATCGTTGATGTCGGTGAAGACATAACGGTGTCCGCGTTCATAGAAGATGGGTAACAGGAGCGGGTGTCCGTATTAGCTGACTCCCCTCAGTGACCTTCATCCTGTCTACTGGCAAAAGGTGGAAGCGTTGCATCGGGGGTGGATGGAAGCTTTGGGTGGCAGCGTTACAAGGCAGCGTTACGTGGCAGCTTTATGTGGCAGCGTTACGCTGGGTTGTGTCTGGTTTTCTACGGCTCTCCAATCCAGTGGTTGGCTGCCCTGGTGGGTCTTCGCACTTCTGCTGGTCTACATCCAGTGCTTGGGTGGTACGCAGTGTTTGCGATCCTGTGCACGGCGGTGATCCGTTGGGATCCACCGTACTCCTCCATTCACGACGCTTAATTAAGGTGTAGCAGATGGCCCTTTTGTGTAAAACGAGATTTGCGTTTGCACCTGGTGATCATGTGTGCGTTCCCGCTCTTGCTCTTAGCCTTGAGTGGACCTCAACGGTGCACTCGTGCCGCGTTGAAACAAGGGTACAAGACACGGATCTTTCCACTTCCGAAGAACCGTTGTTTAACCTCATTTCACACCAACACATGTACACGTTGGTAATAGGGGCCTTCCGTCTGCTTTGCAAAGGACTCTGCCGTGGTCGCTGCTGTAGTTGAGACCGCGGGGTGGGCTGGGCCCCGGTCCGTTCCGCTTCGCGCCAGAGCGGCTCGCTGTACTGCCCTTCCAGCTCCCTTCCCGCTCCCTTCCCTTCCTGAGCAGCGGGATCAGTTGGTACCAACTACACGCGGAGTTGATGGTAGGGATTACACGATTATAATCCATCATATCAAGAAAGCTTCAGTGCTCCTGTCCGTGTTAGGGTTAAGGAAGGCTAAGCAAGCAACCCATGAAAAGCGCCATAGGATTACTGGCCACAATCTTCACCACAATCAATAGGATTCCATGTTTTGTCTTTGATTTTCGCAAGGATTCCTTGAAACATGCGAACTATCGGCCGACCTGACATAAGGTAGCCTGACTTGCGGGGCATGAACGTACAGCCTACAAGCTCTTGCAGCATGACATCGCATTAATCGCTTACAAATCATTATTTAAACAATGATGATTGTCACTGATTGCCACTGATAGAGAAAGTAACTTGCAGTACAGAAATCTATTCCAGAAATGCTGTCCGATTTCTTTATTTTAGCCTTTTGATAAAGTGCAAGAAGACGTAGTCGTCAGGGCAATGGGAAGCTGGTGGGTTGCTTCCGCCCACCCAAGCCAATGTTGTATTGATTTTTTTCTTTATACCTGGATGTACCATTGCCAAAGGCTGGCAAGTGACCCTAGATAGCGCCTTCTGTTCGCTGTTGTAAGTAAGGAAATTCAACTACATGAAAATATGGTTTGTTTGTTTATCATACAGCTCGTAGGGGGAAGTTTCCTTGCCATTGTCGGCCCAGCGGTTCCATGCTGCCCTGGCAGAAACGGTGGGGACGATTCCTCATGAACCATTTAGGCATAAACCTTACCAGTGACTTATTTATCGCGTTGCTAATCCTAATAGCTTATGCCAATGTAACCTGTTTATGGTACAGTTATCCATTCGAACGGCTCCGAACATTACCAAACATCCCTGGGTAAGCGGTTTGCGGTGAAGTTCTGGGTAAATGGTAATGAGTTTGGTTTCTATATCATCAA